ACTGCTGTTGCACTGACCAGAAGGATGCTGAAGGAGTATTTGGTGGATTCCAGTTGAAAAGAGATGTGTTTTTCCAAACCCCAGCAAAGATAGGTGGTAAGAGTGGTATTATTCTGTCAGCTATGCTAGGATTTATTTGCTTAGCTTTACCCTACCTCTCTTTTTACCCTGCCTGATTTTGATCTTGGTGAAACAGTCAGTTCACCCTAGTAATGACTTAGGAGAAGGCAGCAAGGAGCATGATGATTATGTGACCTGAGAGGGAATTTCACCTTACACCAGTTAATAAGCACTGCTAACTTCACATTACAGAAATGCTCTCCTCACTCCTACCCATCCTTGTTCTCTACAAGGAGGGTTTTTTGTTATTTTTTAGGAATATTTATCTCAGTAGCAGAACCTTGGTGCTTTTGCTGTCAGAGTATCTGTGCTGATACCACGTGGTGGCTGGCTGATGCTGTGCAGTCAATTATGCAGTATCTGGGCAGAGAAGCAATCGCAGCACGTATGAACGTAACATTAAAGCAATCACCTGATGCCTCAACCTGATCCTTACCTCTGCTGCCAGTAGGGAAGGGTCTCTAAAACACAATCTCCTGCTTCTTTTTTTTTTCATTCTCTGTCTCCTTCCCAGTTTTGTAGTAAAATACTTGCTTTGTGTTAGGCACAAATGCAGTCAGCCATATAGAAAGGAGGGGGGTTGCTAATAATATTCCACTTTATCAATCAGGAGAGCTCTCATTTTTAGTACACTAATATTTAATACAGCAGTAAAAAGACAAGCACAATTATATATACTCATACACATTCCAAAGACAGGGCATGGCTATTTTTCTCTCCTTTAAAAGGGCAAGGAAAACAGGTTTACCATACGTGGACTAAAACCATCTTAAGCTGGAACCAGTCATACCTTTTTAATTTTCATCATAATGGGATGTTCATAAAATCAATATGATATGAAGCATTTTCAGGATCACATTTACGTTTTTCATTATGGAATTGAAAAAAATTATTCCTCCTCCTGTTTACATAACACTGGTACAACAGCATTACACAATTTTGCTCAAGAGGATGTGAAATGTTAAAAAAAGACAAAACACAAAACCTGAGTTAAATACCTGAGTTAATTCCTTTGCCTCCACTTTTAACATTTAACACCCTATCTTCTGTTATTTATACAGAACTCCTCTTACTCTCATGGTCAGAAACCTGAATTGTCAAGCTGCAAATAAAAGGTTATCACTTCAATTCATTTGTGGGCAAATTGCTCAAACTTAGCTGTCAATCAACAGTCCACTCCAGCATCTGAGCTGATTTGTATCTATCACGGGTGTTTACTTGACAGATTCTCACAAACAAACTGGAGCAGAGAAAATGTGTCTAATGATAACATCATGCCGACAACATGTTTTCTGCAGATAACATTTGCATTATGTGTTTACTGTTTGCAGAGCGTCTGGAAGACATCAAATAAAAAGGAAGATATGTTTCTTTTTCTGAGCACATATTCCAAACAAAAAAAAAAAAAAAAACAACCAACAAACAAAAAACAACACCAAAAATCAGGACTCCAAAGGAGAGCACTTCAGATGAGGAAGCCTAGATATAACTTTGCCTTTTCTTCCTGCTCCCTTTCTACATATTTCATTTTGTTTCATCATACTCCATTGCCTTTCTGTCCCCTGCTTTTTTAATTCCTGTTATTCCGTTACTTTGGAAAAAATCAACTAAAGAAAGAAAAAAGCAGATGCACTCAGACTCCATTCCCATAGTTTCAGCTATTTTATGAATTTTGAATATGAATGGAGATTGAAACTAATCAACAGATGGTTGGAAACATGAATATTCATGAATTCTGAAATCCTGTATTACTTTGCCAGGTATTGTTTGGATGTAAAGAATATATGTGCAGTCTAATCTCCACTCTTGGAAAAGAAATCTAGCAGTCTCTGTAGCTGTCCCATGCCTGATGGACTGGACATTTTGGACAATAAACTGTGGTATATGCATGTATCCTTTGAAAAGGAAAAAAAAAAAGTAAAACAAAACAAATATATTTATGAATTTCTAAGGCCCTCTGCATGAACATCGGCCATTCCAAAATTTGAATTTGATGAGAGACAGGAATAAAATAATTAGTGTTACTATAAGCTAAGTATTAGTTTTGATCTACAACTCCAAAACCCAAAGAAAAGCTGAGGCACTCAGAACAATGATCCAGTAAAGAAATTTGAAATTAAGTATAAGTAGTTATGAATCTATGATTTCCCTTAGGCAGACATAGATGTTTAGCAGCAATCTGTTTTATATAAGTAATAAGCTGCTGCCACCTTCTGAAAAAAACTCAACATGACTACAAATGCCATCTTTCTCACAAGGCCAGGGTAACAACATACACATTCTGAACTAAAAAAATTGGGCAAAAAACAAGTTCTCCTCCAGCACCAATACATAAAAAAATCTCCTGCACTTAGAAATTCTTTCTCAAAAAGCTAATCAGAGAGTGGTGTCAACACTTCCACACAGAAATGTAAGCATGCCATCCTTATCCTAACTTAGGATAAGGATCCTACTAACTTTCAAACTGGCAAATGTGATGCTAAAGGAGGAAAACAGGACTGTGACCTCCCTTTAGCCAAATCCTTCTTCTTCTTTTATATGCTCACTTGCTTGAACAAGAGTTTACTCCCCTTGGAGATACCTTTCAACAACAGCTTCCTCACTATAAAGTTTTAGAAAGTGATGATTTCTCTTTTTCTTTGTGTTTTTCTGCAAGAACCTGCTATTTCAGTGTCACCACCTCTGACAACCAGGGATCAGCTTTCTGGTAGAATTGGATGCAACAAGGATGGTGGGATGAGCGACCCTCTGTGCCGTGTAAATGGGGCCCCACTAACCAACGCTGGCTGTGTGCTGATCCAGAACAGGGAGATTCTGCTCAAACAGAGTAGTTCCAAATCGTTGATCATTCTGAGAAGGGGTGACTTGGTGCATTTTTTCCTCTGCCAGCTTCAATGTGCACCATGCTGGTGTGAGCTTTATTTTGGTTTATATTCTGGAAGCAAAAGTACTGTCAGAGTGTACAACAGCAGAGCAGCAGCAAACCAGTGTCATCTCTAGTAAATCAGTGCATCACAGTCAGTACCTCTGTTATGAATAGATTGATCACCTCTCCAAAATATTTCTAAAAATAAAATTGTGGCATTTTAGCCTGATTTTCAAAGCAAATGAGGGTTATATCATCTGACTGTCTAGCTCCTCCATCTTCCTGTAATCTTTGAACATATTGATCAGTTTCAACTATAATTGACGGGAAATTGAAAGTGTCAAAAATATAATTTATAGAAATTTAGAAAGCCCATAGAGCACACAGCCAGAGAAGATCAATCTTCAGCAGTTGCACTGCTGACAGGCCAACATGCTTGAATAAATCCCTGAACTACAGTTCTGTGATTTGGGAGAGGAGAAGGAGAAATCATAATCCAAACTACAAGCTGCCTGTGAATTTCCTGGACAACACCCAAGCTCCATGATGGCAGAATATTAAAGTGGATTTGTTTTAGAGGAAATTCTGAGTTATACTGGGAACATGGCCTAAAACAAGCCAAAAATATGAAGGAGTACAAAGATGTCTTAAAACCATTCCTAATATGTCTTACTTTTTTTGCTACTATTCTAAGCATCCTGACATAATGATATTTTTGATACAGCTGTTAAGATTTTTTCAGTAATTAAAGAAATTAATGAGTCTGCTAAAAGATGCTTGGAAGAATGAACCAAATGAAAATGAAAACACAGAAATATCACTTGATCTGTTATGACATCCCTTACTATGCAGCTCACCACTTCTCTACATTTACAGGCAGTTTTTCAGTGCCCGTAGACAGGTCTCAATGTGCCATTCTAGCACTTTGAGGCTCCATGCATCTGATAAAAGATAACAAATCAGCTGTTTTGAAGGATTGCTGATTTTCAGAGATAATAGTATTATTAATTTGTGTTAGAGAATCAGCAATAATTTAATGATAAAACAGAAGTTGTGGCAGACGTAAAACTGATTAATTTAATTGCAAGAATTTCTCTGAAATTATTTTAGGAAAGACTTCAAACACTTGCACGGGGAGTTCTTCACTACTGTTTTGGGTTGTTAAGGTCCTATCTGGGATTTTTTTTTGCAGGTCAGGAAGCCACAGGTTTGCACATTATGTTTTTGACTAATGCCTTTCTTTCTTTGTAATTTCTGAGCAGAAATTCCATGCCCAGCATGGAGTCTTCCACAATTTCTTTTTTGCCTCTTCATTTATTTGTTTCCTCAGGTTCACAGAACCACCAGCAGTTTCAGCGACCCCCACCCAACCGCAATTATTTGCCGGTGTCATCTCCCCGTGTGGAGTCATAGAACCATAGAATCACAGGATGCTAAGCGCTTCCACAGAATGAAAAGGACCTTAAAGGTCATCTAATCCCAATCCCCCCGCTATGGGTAGGGACACCTTCAACTAGATTGTGCAAGGACCTTAAAGGTCATTTAATCCCAATCCCCCCGCTATGGGTAGGGACACCTTCAACTAGATTGTGCAAGGACCTTAAAGGTCATCTAATCCCTATCCCCCCCTGCTAGGGTAGGGACACTTTCAACTAGATTGTTCAAGGCCTTATCCAATGTGGCCTTGAACACTTTCAGGGATGGGGCATCCACAGCTTGTCTTGGCAACCTGTTCTAGTGCCTCACCACACTCACAGTAAAGAATTTCTTTTCTAAGACACATTTTAAAATTCCCCTCTTGCAGTCGGAACCCCTCGCTCCTTCCCCCGCCGCGGCTCCCGCAGGAATGTGGCTCCGGGGGCGGGGCCGGGGCGGGGCCCGCCGGAGCTGTTCGGGCGGCGGGTGCTGAGCGCGGCCGCTCCGCCTGGTGCCGCCGGGCGGGGCCGGCGCCTCCCGCGCCGCGCTCGCAGGGGGTGCCCCGGGAGCCGCTCCCGCCGCCGCCGCCGCCCGGGCCATGGCGGCGCTGCTGCTGGTGCTGCTGGCGGCGCTGGGCGGGCGGGCCGTGCTGCCGGGCGGGCGCTGCGCGGCGCCGCTGGCCGACCTGCGCTCGCAGATCTCGGGCGTGGAGACGCTGCTGGAGGAGTTCCGCCGGCAGCTGCAGCAGGAGGAGCCGGGACCGCCGGCGACGGCGGGCGGAGGAGGGGGCGGCGGGGAGCGGTGCGGCGGAAGCGGCGGCTTCTCGGCCAGGCCCGACTCCATCATCCGCACCAAGGACTCCATCGCGGCCGGCGCCACCTTCCTGCGGGCGCCCGGCGCCGCGTCGGGCTGGCGGCAGTGCCTGGACGCCTGCTGCGCCGAGCCGCGCTGCACGCTGGCCGTGGTGCAGGGGCCCGCCCGCCCGCGGGGCACGGCGGCCGAGCCGGGCTGCTACCTCTTCGACTGCACGCACCGCGGCCGGCCCGTCTGCCGCTTCGCCCCGCACCGCGGCTACAGCTCCTACAGTCGCCGCACCGCCGGCATCGCCCCGCCGCCCCCGGGTAAGCGGCTGCGCGGCGGGCGTGGCGGCGCGGGCATGGCGGGAAGGGCCGCGGGCCGCCGCCGGCGGGAGCGGCGCCGGCCGTGAGGCGGCCAACCCGCTCCGGGACGGGCGGCGCCGCCGGGGGAGGACGGGCCAGAGAGCCGGGCTGCGCCTGCCGTTCGGCGGGGTTCCCTGGGCCGGGAGAGGCGGCCCGGCTGTGCCCAAGGGAACCTTAACCAGGTGTATAATACCTGAAGGGGAGGGGGTTCCAAGAGGATGTTCCAGGCTCTCCTTGGTGGTGCCCAGCAATCGGACAAGAGGCAGCGGGCAGAAGCTGATCCTGCTGAACCTAAGGAAGAGCTTCTTTACTGTGCGGGTAACCACGCACTGCACCCAGAGGCAGTGTGGAGTCTCTATCACTGGAGATTCTCAGAAACCTTCTGGACACAATCCTGTGCCGTGTGCACATGGGACGACCCTGCTTGAGCAGGGAGGGTGAACCAGATGAGCCGCTGTGGTTCCCTTCTGATGTAGCTGCTTCTGTGAGGGCTTTGGGGGTGTTTGGGCTTGGGGACACCCATCCCTCAATATCGCTGCCTCTGCAGAGCCCTTGGCGGGGGGGCATTGTGCCAGCCAGCCGGGGCTGGGGGCCAGACAGTGGGATGTGCATGTTCAGTGGCCCTGCTCTCTCTGGGGAACCAGAGAAGTCCCAGCTCCCCAGGAGCTGTGCATGTTGGTCACCTTCGAAAGCATGAAGTGCTGGTCCCAGCTATGCCATAACGTGGCGCGTAGCCTGAGAGCAAGCACGTGGCATTCCTGGGGGTGCTGTCCAAATGTCATTGCCTAAGACAGCTTCTTACTCATTTAAATCAAGATTTTTTTGTACTTAAGAACTCGAGACCTAGACTGAAGAAGACAAAGATACCTCACCAGTAGTCCAGATGCAGCATGGACATTCTCCACAAGCATTTTTGGAAACTAGGCCACATCAAAAGCAGCTGTTTGTTCAACTCTGAAGCATATTTAAGAACAATATTGTGCAGACCAAGCAGCTGTAGATGAAAACAAATCTGAGTTTCTAAATTTGGAGTCTGTTTCCTAGCACCTGATCCAAATAATTTATTTGCCTTCCCTCACCTCCTGTTGTTAAAGTCTCCTCTTAACTAATTTTGACTAAATTTCATTATCTCTGTGCACAGTACTTTCCCAAAAGTAATCTGTAAATTATCTATCTTACTCAGTGATAGATCTCATCTGAAGTAAATTAGTCACTGCATGCAACAGGAAGAAGACCTGGTCTTGGCGTGGGTGAAAACAGTGCCCAGGTGTGCCTGCTGTTGCTGCTCTCTTGGGAGGGGAGACCTCAGGCTTGAGGTCCATTCAGTCCTGCACATTTCATGAGAATACAAGAAATACAAGAGAGCAGGGGCTTGATTTGTAGAGGCATTATAATTCCTAAATATATTTTGCACATTGCATGGGCAGGTAGATTAGAGAGCTATAAGGAAGGATCTTATGGCAACAGAGATAAGGCAAGCTTAAGGTACCAGAAAAACCCATGATGCGATTTTGACATTTTCAACAGGAGGAGTATTTGTTCCACAGTATTATTTATGTAGCAGCTTTGTGGTAGTTGTATTTCATAAACCTGTATGCACTTGCATGATACAAGGCTTAAGATGAGATTTTACATCAAAGTCGCACAGAATTAGGCTTCATTTTGAACTGCCTTAATTCTATTAAAACCTATGAGGAACTAATTTAGGGTGCAGTTATGGCACAATATAAATAATATATTGTACAAATGATGCTCTGTCTAGTAGAAATCTCGAATTTCTTCAATTCCATTGAGTTCTTGAATTCTGGAGTTCTTAAATGCTTTGCCTTTTTGGCAGCTTTTCTGACTGTCAGCACTGGACTTGCAAGACAATTTCAGTTCCTAATCTGCAAATTGCTCTGTATCCTGATGGTTTTAGTTAAAAGTCTGCCGTGTGGGTGATGGTGGTATTGGAAACAGGGGATTCTGATTTCTTAATGCAATTACACTGGAGCTGAAAAAAAGCCACAAAGGAGAATGAACTTTTATTTAAACATCTGTCAGATGTGACATAAACCAGGAGAGATAAAATTAAGATTGAATAATTTTGTTGTGATGTTTTGCTACTAGTGCATCCTTTAATTACATTGAAAAACAATCTGGACAACAGGATGATGAAGGCACATCTCTTTTCCCTTCTGTCACCCCATGAACGAGTTTAAGAAATTTAGAAAAGAACTTTTCATTTAAAGATTTTTTCCATGAGGGGATTACATTTTAGCTGCTCCTTTCTTCTTTTTTTGTTTTTGTTTTTGTTTTTCTTTCAGAGTACTTTTTTTTCTTGAGTCTCCACTGTTTTCTTTCTGATAATACCAAACCAACATTTACCTACAGATATGGTGCCCTCATAATTCCAAAATATTTCTGTGCATTGGGATACAGTTATCTCTAAGATCACTAGTGGTGAGCAATGGGAGGATTCAACATCAAGGTAAACTAATACCAAACACATTCAGGAGTTGGCAGTGAAATAACCTTTTAAAACAAAGCCTTCATTCAGAAAACTAGCTGGAAGCTTCATTATTGACAGGTCAAGACTGTATAAAGGATGGAGGGAACAGAATAAATAAAAAGCATGGTTATAAAAAGCCTATTGTGTTGGTTCCCAAAGAAATAAGTGTTTCACCTCTTTTTCTAGAAAGCAGCCAGCTCCAGCATCTCAGAATGTTGACCTGGTATTTCAGTTCCATACTGCTTATTTACATTCAGCTCAAATGCAAGCTGAAAGCAGAAGTTAAGAGATGATTTTTCTGCTGACCTGTGGCTGGTAGTGCTTTATTCCCACGAGTGGTGGTTGCAAGTGGCTCCAATGAGTTTGCCTCTTCGGTATTTTTGGTATTGACTTCTTATTCCCCACATTTGGAGGTGTTTCGCTAAGGATCATGTATTCCTTGCTTAAAACTTTGCTGTGGAAAAAGAATCTTCAGCTCAAGAGGCTCCTCCCATGCCATATGTCTCTAGCAAGCCAAGTTTTCCTTTTTGCCATTGATTTAGCTTTCCGAAGATGATCTGGTGGCTTGCAAGCAAAGGATAGTGCCTCCATCCTTAGTGACTGGAGGGCTGTGTGGTCCCTCACTCATCTTTAACTAAGGGCTGGCATGAATTTCTGTGACTGACTCAATGTGGAGGGGTCCTTCCTTTGCAACTCCTGCTGCTGGAGTCTAAAGTTAGTCCAGGAAGAAAGTATCCTCATTGCTTAGGGGAATTAGGGCTTGTTTCTGCCCTTGCAGGGCATTGATCAAGTCATTTAAACCAGACAGGTGACATAAAACCCCTCTCCAAGGTAGAAGCAGAAGACTGGGCTGTGCTGTTTGAGACCCAGGTCAGTTTCTTTTTGACACTTATTTGTAAAGTAAGTAACTGTGTGAAGACTGTACATAACTCATTTATATCATATAAAAGTTGCCCTGGCACCATAATGATGGTGTTTATTAACAATTAGTTTTGAGGTTTTATTAACAATGAGTTTTGGGATTATTTTGCACCTGGATGTTGCTTTTTAAACAAAGCTGGTTTTGAGAAGCAAGTGTATACAAATTAGGCAAAGCTGCCTTTGTCATTGGATGAACAAGAACTGTTTCATACTTTCTATTATTATACCTTTCTATTATTATACCTAGTTATTGTATGTTTTCCTAACTTTTGATATTTACCTTGAAATTTTCTATGCCTGACCTACTACCAAAAAAAGAAGAAATAAGAATTTTTCTGTTTAGTCAGAGGTAAACAGTTGTTCTACTGCTCCCATGCACTCCAAGGCTTCCAGCACATTCATGATACTGTTGAAGAGCACGTGCAAGGAAGATTCCCCACAATGATGAAAAATCATGTTTCCTTGTGCAGTTCTGCCCACATGGAGTGCAATTACAACCTTGATTTCCTAATTGCTCTTCTGAGGATAACAACAGTATTCTTTACAGGGTATTCTTTGTGGAGGTTGAAGAGCAGAGGGCATCCTGGCACTTCAGTGTGCTCAAAGAAGGAATGAAACTCGAGTGGGGAACTGTAGAAAGATACAGTCTTTGGGTTAGACTTTCGTTAGTCTAACCCATAAGTTTGTGGTCTGATTAGCAAAAGTACTTAGTACTCACAATTTTAATCAGTAAAGATTGTACTTTGAACATAGCAAAATGCTATAAATAAATACTCTGAATATCCTAAATATTCTGAAAATCGAGCTTTTGATATCTTAAATGAGGCACTTAAAATTAGTGGTCTCTGATGATTTTTAATCATCGTATGCTCTGCTTCCTCAGGGTGCCACCTTGTGCTAAATCAGTCTTTCATTGCTATAATGATGTATTATAAATAGGGACTAGAAACCTATTGAATTATGCAGAGTACTATAAAAGGTATGAAAAAGGTAACTGCCATCTGTATGTGAGTCATATTTAGACCTATTGTCCTTAGTTCAGATTAAAAAAGTACACTGATGCTAATAATCCTGTTTGTTGTATTGCTGAAACATCCAGGTACCTAGAGAGGTTTTCTATGCTGTGTGCTTCTAATGTTAATTCCTGAAGACATCATAGGACAGTTAACGAAAATTGAAGCAGATGCTATTTTGCTTAACAAAATGTGCGCTAATGAACATGTTCCTCTTTCAGGAAGTTGCACAGAGAAGAAACAATACCTTAACCAAGAAAAAAATGTGTTTTATCTAAATAATCACTCAGCCTTTCCTCATAAATAACTGATCTTCTCTTTCTTTGTTTAAGAAGAAGAATATGATGAGCCTCCACAGTGTAGGGCAGGCCAAGACATTGTGCTGCAGTCACCTGTGGACTGGGTGCTTTTGGATGGCCGGGAAAGTTCCGATGACCACGGAATTGTGCACTATGAGTGGACACTGCTGCAGGGCGACTCATCAGTTGAAATGCAGGTACATGTACAGCCCCCCATTGTGCCCAATTACTTCCAGATTGTTGTGTTCAAGTTTTAAATATACAGCTAAAAATATTAAATATATACCAATCTGTCTACCAGGCACCAAAATTAGGATGCCTGTACAACTTGAACATTTATTTCACACAAATGTAGAGCAGCCCAGGTTGGAAGGGACCTCAAAAGATCATCTGGTCCAACTGTTTGTGGGGCAAGGAGCATCAATGAGATTATCTTACCTGTCCAATCCCATGCTGAAGACCTCTTGTGAAGGAGACTACACTGTGTCCCTGGGTAGTTCCAGTGATTATTTCTAGTGGCTTACACACTTAATCTCTTTCTTGGGTGGCATGGGACAGCCAGCAGCAAACAAGTAGATAATAATACTCCACTGTATTTGAGCTCTGCTTTATTTATACTCGCTGCACTTGTTTTTCAGCTTCTGTCACCCCAGTTAGAGACCCCTCAGTAATTCAGTTACTAAAAATAATAAGGGATTTTCACCGTCTCCTGTCAGTGCTTACAGAGAAACTTCAAAGAAACACAATGAAAACCTTATGAGATTTTTTTATCCACACATTTTCTGCTGCACTTTGATTTCAAATTAAAATTACTAATGAAGAGAGGAATTCTTCATTTTAATCTTTTTTGTGAATGCTGTAGAATCAGCGGAAAAATAGAGAAAAAATGTCTCAGGTCCACAGATTCTAGTTGTAGTCTGTTCACAGCCCAAAACATCCAGGGCACACTGGGAACTCCACCTAAAGCAGGAAGGATATGTAGAGGTGAGAGAGTATGAAGCAAAATGAATCTTGAAGGATAGTTGCTAGAAATCGTCTAGATAAAAGGAACACTTCATTATCAAAGACTTGTTAATCTGACCCCTTGCAGCATTATTTTCTTAGAAGAGCAATTAAGTACTTTTAAAATTAATCTTTGATTTAGTAATGTACAGTAAAACAAAAAGTAGAATTTAATAAAGCATTTAAAGTTTATATTTTTAATATTACTCAAAGTCACTTTATAAAGTGACTTAGAGACAAGTCTTATATCCATTCAAACTTGTAAAATTCACATTAACCTTGGTGGCTTTTTGCTATTTGTTAACAGAAAATGAATTTGACACACATTTATGCTTAAATAAATACTTTTCCATTGTGTTCAAATGAGCAGGGATTTCTCCTACAGATATGTACCCTGGTGATTAACCATGATAATTTAAATTTTTGAGTTGAATTAATAGCTGTGATTTTTTTTTTCATGCATTCTTCAGTTGATGTCTTTAGTGCTTTGGTTGCTGCCCTGAAGTTACTGGATTTTGTGTCATTTATTCTTTGAGAATAATGTATGAATCCATAGCTACAAGGGAGAATGGGAGTGTGTTTAAATAAGATAAAAGGCAGCTGTTGCATTGCTCTTATGTAGCAAAGAATAAATAGAAGACAGAGGAGGGGGAATGACTGCTATAAAGAGATCCTATCATATTGTAGAAGGAAGCCTTTTTTATTCCTGTTGTGACTTGATTATTGCTTTTTTAGTTAATTTGCTTCTCTGATTGCTATCCCCACTCTGTAGCTGCACAGCTCCTGGACACTTGGGGACAGTAATGGGTTGGGTCTTTTTTTTTTAAATGCTGATTGTCTATTTCGAGACAAAGTTTCTGTGTAAGCAGATTCAGGCCAGAATTCTTCAGGGCAGCATGAAGAAAATAAGAAGGAAAGCACAGAGGTCACCCAGAGTGGTGGCGTATTCAGAAGTCAGTGGCATTTCTCTGTCTCTACACAGGGAAGAGACTTGGGCTCCATGGCTCATGAGTTTTAAATACCATGTTTGCTCTCCAAACAGTCACAGTTTACAACAGCAGGTGTATTTAGGGCATAAGAATTTCTTAAATGTATTAAAGAATAAAATTGTAGGGGATCATATGCTCCATCAGGAGGTACTCAACAGTCTGATCAGATAACTGAGTGCATTCATGTAAATAGAAAAAGAAAGAAATTTCAGGTAAGAAATTTTCTCACTGAGAGAAAAAAAGTGTTTATCAATATACTCTTCCATAATGGAAGGTCTAGGACTCTATGGCCATATTAATAAAAATTATTGTTCTCTTTAAAGCATGAAAATTTATTTCTGTGGATCCATGTTATATTACCTACAGACTAACTTGATAAAAAGCAAAAGGCCAATATTTTACTGTCTATCCTCTAAAATTACATTTTTAATTACTCAAAAATTGAGTTAAATGTATGTGACCATTTGTTCTCCATTTGTGTGCTGAGATCCACAGCTCCAGGTAACTGAGTAGATCATGAAAACACTACCTGAACATTGTGGGGTTTTTTACAAATGGATGCAAAAAAAAAGAGATCAAATGTTACATGCTGAAATACATGCTTGAGTAGGCTGAGTAGACTGTGGGAAGAATTTAATCTGCATGATGAGCTCCTTATTCCTGGAAGGTCACAGATGGATCCATTGTGCCAATATGTTTTTTTTTACTGTGTGTCTTTACTCAGGTACCACAGCCAGGAACACTGAAATTGTCCCACATTCAGGAAGGCGGGTATATTTTCCAGCTAACAGTGACAGACACTGCAGGTCAGAGAAGCTCTGACAACGTCTCTGTGACCATTCTGCCCATGGTTCATTCTGCAGCAGGTGAGAGAATGGCTGGAGCTGTTGCCTCTGTGACACCCAGGGTATGGTACTCAGAGCAGAGCAAGGGTCTTGATAAAGGTTGAAATGTTGTTCTCCATTTTCAGTGTTTTATTTTGCCCATGCTCATTACATAATGACATCTCTTTCAGCTTTGAATTGCTCTTTCAAAGTGATGAAACAAGCAAGCATCACTTGCCTGTTAGAACAATAATATTTTCAGGCACTGAGTATTCGTCCTTCTATTGCTAATAAGCACGCAGGATTGGAAGAGTGAAATATTGACACAGGTGTCAGGTGCATTGTAACAGTCAGATGGTGTGGACATCATAACAGGGCTTGTGCTATAAGAAAGACCCAATTATAATTACTTAATAGTATGTTTGAGGCAGCCTAATAGTAATACTGACCTGCATCTGTAGTCTGATAGTGTTTTTTTGTTTTAATGCATTTAAGTTTTTCTTTCTAATGGTTGTCATTGTAGCCTTTTGCTACTGGGGAAGCTGAAACTGGAATTGACCCATCTTTTTTAAACTCTGAGCTTCAGAAACATGTAAAAAGCATAAAAGGTAGAAACTAAGTTAGATTTCAGTGGCTGTCAGTCCTGCTCTTAAATGCAATAACTTCTAATTACATTGTAATTAACAAGTTGCTAGTGCAGATCTGCTGCTCTGGCACAAAGTTAAACAGCATTATCACCAGGTTTAGCAAAACCAGTGAAAAATCTTGCTCTGCACCAGCACAATATGTTTATGTGAAAGGGTTGTCCCTCTAGCAATAAGCTGTTATTAAGGAAAAAAATCTGCTTAATAATGCCTGTGTTCCAGTAATGGATGATAGAGGTTTGTTTATTAATATTTAATTCAGCTAAAGCAACCAGAGAGGTTTGCTGCTTTATTTATTTGCTGTTGTTTTTATTTTTCTAATTCCCCAGCTATCAATTCAAGTGCTACTGCTGTAGCTAAACCAGTTCTTGATGCCTCAATACATGCAAGATCAGTGCTGTTACTAGTGCTGAAGTTCAGGACATGCATTTTCAGATTTTTAGGGGTTTTAAACAGTTGTCTGCATTCCTGGCATCCTTCCCTTAGTGTGGTGCAGTGTTTCGTACACAGCAGGATAACAACCAAAGGCTGTGCTCCCTTATGCAAATTGATTTGCTCTTACAACACTAATCAAGCCCTGAACTTGATGGTGCTTTACAAAGTGATGAACTGCACTGCTGTTGGAAAGACAAAAGCACAGATGTAAACACTTCACAATTACAGAATCAAAATGGGTTTCAGGAAAGTTTTGAGTATGCAAAATGGGGCATCCAGGGTACTCTTCATTTCCAGGGGAATCTAAATATTAAAGCAGGCAGCAGTCAGTTCTTTCTGGTGAAAGTAATTTGTGAGAATGTGACCTAGTCCTATTTTGGTCTGTGCTGTATTGAAGTTACTGAATTGCTGATGTCAATAAATGACAAGCATTCTTTGAGTATTTTAATTACATTGCAGAAAATATGCCATAAAAGATCCTATATGGTCCAAGTGTGTGCATGTAAAGCAACATATTGGTGTTGAATGAATTTTTAGTAGGAATTTCTACTAAAGGGAGGAGGGATGCAGTTACAGTTACAGAGATTTAATTTCTTTGTTTTCAGGACTGTTCTGCATCTTTTAAGCCTAGGAAGATCTTCTTCCAGCTTAGGCCAGCAGAATTCAAAGCACTGTAAGGGTGCTGCACAAGGTGTAAGGTGCAACAGCCTCCAGGTTGAGTATTGCTGTAACAAAAGGATTACCAGGCTAGTGATGAAGGTGCCAGGAACAGCTATTGCCTATATTTGCTTCTGAGTCAATATGATGTCACAGAGCTGAGTCTGGACTTTCTGCCTCGTTCATGGTGCTTCTTGACATAGTGTGGTTTTGCTTTTTCCTCTGTGCTGCAGATTTTAGTCACTGACTCAGTCACTGACTCACTATTTACTACTTGGATTTCTCTTTTGGTAATTTGGGAATTGTTTCTCAACAGCCTGCGTTGGGGTTTGCTCTCGCTACCAGTTTATCTGTGATGATGGCTGCTGCATTGACATCACATTTGCGTGTGATGGTGTGAGACAGTGTCCTGATGGATCCGATGAGACTTTCTGCCAGAATCGTAAGTGTGCCAGGCCACAGTGGCACAATAGACTGTGAAAGTAACCACAGCCTCAACGACCAAAGGGGGACGATGTCACTTCTGTGGCCTCTCTCCCTAGGAGCAAGCAGTTTGCTCCCAGCCTTTCATTGGAACTAGCACATGGGAAGGTTTGATATTTGCATACTCAAGTGCTCAGAAACTTTCTTCAAAGCATATTAAAACTATCAAGGGTCCCTAAGTGACAGGTTTTGTGTTCAGCAGTTAAAAGATCAGTTTTGCACTTGCATGATGATTCTGGAAACAAGAACAGTGATCTCTGTGTGAAAGGGTGTCTCAGAGGTACCCTTCACAGTGCTGTTAGACACCTTGCAAGAATCTGGAACACTGTGGACACACAAGGGAACTTGTTGATTCACCATTATGTTGTTTGCTTTCATTAGTCATCCCTCAGCATGTGCCCATGCTCAGCTAAGAGAACAAAAGCCACCAGAGGGTGAATGGGCACAGTGGCTAGCCATTTGTAGTTTAGTTACTGGATTTCACTGTAGGGGTCATGCGTGTACTCTTGTGAGCAAGTGTTAGCTATCTATGGCGCACATTTCATCATATGTGTGAACCTGAGGAAGTAGTTTACTCTGCCTCACGGCCTGTCTTGGACAGTCTTCCTTAAGAACCCTTCCATTCCCTTCAGCGTTGTACAGAAACTTCTGTTTCTGTTAACAGTCAGCTCGGGTCGGAAGACGGTGACACATGCAGCTCTTGGCACCACCCAGCAAAGGACTGCAGGACTGACTGAAAACGTGGAGGAAAACTCTGCTGTGAACACCCTGAAAGCCACTGCCAGAAATCAACCACTTCTCTCAGTGGATGCAGACATGTCTAACCAATCGCTTTCTCAGGGACCAAAGAAACAAATCAGTGGATTTGTGCCAGGTAAGAATTGAATCAGTTTCAATAAATCCTTCTCCTTAAAGAAAGGAAGTGTCTTGCACCTTAAATTTAATTGTCTTTTGGTGCCTGGCTAACAGGAAAAAATTCAAATGTAAATAAATACAAAAGAAACCTGTAATAATGAAGTTCTAAGTAGGATTTGATTTATTATTGTCAATTTGTTTTATACTAGGTGCAAAAAGAAAGTTAAAGTGGTAATGCTAGGGAAATAATACAGTCTTAGGAACAAAATGTGCAGTGAACTAAATAAAAATTCTGCCACAGGTTCAGCTGTGTAGGCTGATGTATTAAGGCTCTTTAAAATCTGTAGGGAGTACTTCAGGAGCACATAATAAGATACTGTTCAACTTGGGTGAGAGTAATTTCTTTTCTCCTGGTGCTAAGTGTTACTTCTCTCTCTCTCTATTTTTTTTTTTTTTTTTTTTTCCCTTTGTTTTTTTTTTTTTTTTTTTTTGTTTTTTTTTTTTTTTTTCCCTGAACTCTGTCTTCAGGGCAGGAGAAGTCTTTCATCACTGTAGAAAAGTCCCAGGCTTTGGTAAAAGCTACCTCAGGTGTCTGTGCACAGGTCCCCAGTACTGTTCTGCAGAGTGGCTGTAAGCCTGTAGTGAGTCACTGTGTGATGTTACAGGCAGAGCCCCAACTCTGGCCTTGGTAAAGCTCCAGAAACTGCAGTAAAATTGATGTGTCTTTTAAGGTTCATGCTGATTAAGTAAAATTATCTGACATGGCAATTAAATGAAAGCATAACTGAGCATAGAATCAGTACAAACTCCCCACTTTTATTTCTTCATGGTTTAGACTGATTCGTGTGCCCCAAGACACAGCTGTTTATAACCAGCTTTATTTTTCAGTTACAGCAGAGCAGTGCTCAGTGCCCTCTGCTGTCGGCTCTGGAAAAGGGCACTGACCTGGTCGGCACCTGGACGATCCTTCAAGGTGCTTGTACTTCATCTGTGGAGTGCAGAAGGAGTGAAAACTCTGTAAAGGGAGTGAAAACAATGTTCTCAAGAATTTGATGACCTCAGTGAATGTGTGGGGAATGACAGCAAAATCCTGTCCCAAACTTGTACCCCTTTTCTGGCAGTATAGATGACCTCTAGATGACCTCTAGACAACTCCTCACTAAAATCTGAAGTCTGCTTCAAACCCTTCTCATTGACATAGTCTTGAGTGACACCTGATATGGGGCCACCCAAACTAAACATCAAACTTCCAAAGGGCTTTGCAGGCTCCAGTGGGAAGTCAGCTGTTAAGTAGGCCTCAAAAATCATTTGGCTTGTGAATCCAGGCATAAAACTAGAACTGAGGTCATCGCCTTCAGCAACTGAAAATCAAGGTTATAACTGGAAGTACAATGCAGAAGCATTTTTGCATAATAATTTTCTGTGGTCACCTATTGCACAGTAACTTACTTGCACCAGTTTTGCTCTAAAGGTAGCTTTTGCACAGCAGTACACAAGCAAAGAAAAAGATTCTTAGAAAACTAAAGAAATGTGATGGGGCTTCCGTGATTAGTGTACTACCAGTACCTGTTGTAATCTTCTAATTTTCAACAGGCAAGATTTCAAGCTGTTTTAATTCTTGTGAGTTTAATATTTTTATTTTGACAAGGCTCAGTCAAAATTTAATTTTAGTTGTTAATTATTTCCCTGTGGAATAAAAGGATCCAGTCTGTACTGACCCAGGAGCCCAATATGTCTAATGAAAAAAAGCAGCAAACAGCTCAGCTGCTTATAATAGGTTTAAAATAGGTTTAAAATCCTCTATGGATCGATTCCAGTTAGGGTGCATGGGGTGAGACATGAAGGCTTGCTAGGTAGATGTGAAGTACATGGGTCCAGAGGGCAGAAACTGCCAAAAACTGCTCTGCCAAAACCTGCTCTGAGCTGCTGTCTTCTCCTGCAGACACTGAAACTTCATGGAGCCCCATGCTGTGCATTGATGATTCACAGAGGTCCAGAGAGGCTCAAGTCCTGCCCCACTGGGAAACACCACAGTCTTTATGGAGTTGAAGAACAAGCATTTAACCTATTCCTTAAAATTCACCCAGATCTATTAATTAGACATCACTGCCATCTCAGGGAGGTTACTGACCAAATCTAATAATCATGTGATATAAAAATGAGAGGCACAGAAATGCTGGAGCAGCTCCATAAAGCTCATCTGGAAATGTGTCCAGGAGGGCAATTATGCTAGGTGCATTTTTGAAAAGAGATAAGCAACACTGAGCAGAAATCATACCAGCAGCCTCAAAAGTTCAGCAATTCCACTGGCAGAAATCCTGTTCTGGGTGAGATTGTCTCCTGCTGCTGGTGCCAAGGTAGAACTCTGCCTCTGAGTCACTGTAAAGGTCTTTGTTGGACCAAGGCCATCGTGTTCTTGTTGGCCTGGTGCTGATATTGCAAACATCCTGACTTCTTGTATATTATTTTACATAAATTTTGAAAGTAAGCTTTTGCAGTTTTAATGTCACTATGTATATAAGATACACATTAGGGGATGTGGCTTTACAGTGGCAGCACAGGTTTTGGCTTTTCACTTGTAAGTGCTCCATTCAGGGCCACATTTTTCTTAATTATCAGCTGACAGTTTCAGATCATCATGGAAATACAATCCAGGAAGGAAAACATGATGCTCTTAAATCAAGTGACTGCAGGTAGAGTAAATGAAGGTTTTAGCTACTGGAGACAGCATATGGCACATTCCAGCTGGCTGCTAGACTCTATGCTTGATACAGGAGCTTTGCATTGATATTTAAAGAGAAGTTTTTCCCAAGACATTGTAGGACTTGGGAGTTCTTTTGTTTTCTTTTTTACATTTGTTTTTTTATTAGTGGTGGCTAAAGTACCAGTAAAGGCCTGTCCCTTCTGCTACTTACCTCTCCATAAACAGCTTTAATCTCTGAGAATTCAATAAAGATGTCTAATAAAGGGACTTCCTTGTCATGTACAACCAAATTTATCTTTTCTCCAAAGGAGCTGGGTTAAGTTGTAACGTTTTGGACTGTGAGATAGTTCCTGGTATCAGATATATGAGCTTTCTACCTGTGAGGGTGATCCTAAGGGAACTTTCTTCCAGAGTCCATTTTCTCTTAAGAGAGTTTCTGTTCCAAATTTCCTTTAACCTTCCTTACAGTGGCCCTTCATACTTAGCTCTGACTTGATACAAACTTTTTAAGGATTTACACTGAAGTATGAAAACATGCAAGTCCAAGTTAAGGACTGTTTAAAACTTCTGCCTGACCTAACAGGGGATCTATTAGAAGTAAAGTGAAAAAAGCCACAACCAACCAATACAAAACCCAAAGTCATTGATTGTTTACAATGGGTAAATCTTGTTCTGCAGTCCTGCCTTTTCAATGGGATTCCTCTACAGCAGGGCAAGTCCAGGGGGAACAGCAAGTCTGATTTTGAGATAACCCCCTCAGACACTTAGGGCACTGAGTCTTCTGCAACAGACTCATGGTCTACTTTTGCCCAAGCTGAAAGGCCAAACATTTTCTTTCAAAGTTGAGAGTGGATGGAGGAAGAGGCATTTGATGTCAATGAAAGAGTCCTTTCTCTCTCTGCAGACATGTTTCCATGGTAGTAAAGTTACCCAGACTGCGTCTCCTGCAAAGGCCAGCGCAGCATTTCTGCATGGCTGCCTCCAAATAGCCCCAGTGTCCTTCTCCAGGGAAGTTCTTAAGACCAGCTGCATATTGTGGCACTTCTAAACTTGCAGATGAATGTAGAAAACACTCAGTAGCAGCACAGCACTCTGGAGTGAGCAGGGGGCTGGTTTCTAAGCAGCAGTGGCCAGTAGCAAACAGGGTCATGCAGACGGATTGAATTGATGAACAGCCTGAAGATTTGCACTCCCCAGTGCAGCCAACCCAAGTGTATAAATCACCATAACAGCTTTGCATTCCCCTGGCACAGGGCCTCTGCCTCTCCCAGGCTGCCTGTGCAGCGCTGTTCAGGGCTGGGATTACAGCATTTGACTGAGTGCCCAAGACTTAGTCATGTTTTTACTGCAGGGGCACCCACAGCAGTAGCCGTAACCTAGCTCTGTAATTTAGGGGAATTGGAAAGGACTGTAAATGGCAATTTCCTTGGAGTAGACTAGAAAATCAAGAGAAAGTGAAATCTAAATTAAACCCGTGTAAAATGCTTTATGCTAGGCTCCTAAACTTCTTTGGGGAAATTGCTTGTTGTGTTCTAGAGATAACAGATAAGATATTTAGCAGCATTGACTCTGATAGTCTCTCCAGTTGTGTAAGAACAGCCGTAAGTCGTAGCAAAACCCTACAAGCTTTATTGAAAGGCTCTATTCTTCCAAAAATTTCCCACTAAACTTTTCTCCATATTTGCCGAATTTCTTTACAAAGAGTTGACTTAAATATTCCCTTTACTTAAATGGCAGGGAAACAAGTTTCTAAAACAGGCATTTAGATGCTGGCTGGAGCAGCTCTTAAAAAGAGCTGATGTCTTTTGGGTATTTCCAAAAGAAAGACAAATATTCATTTAGTTTAATTCAGAAAAAACAGCTGCTGCTTTTGGTGTCAGTTACATTCAAGTGGTCTTGCACATCTCTGATACTATATGGGTATTTTAAGGCCAGTACATTCACTGTTAGGATTTTTTCAAGCCCACTTTACATGCCAGGATATCAGGAGCCCAACAAGGAGAAGGCCATGGCTTGTTTCTGCAGCATTCCCTGCAGGTGAAGTCAATGTTTATGCACCCCGGCCAAAATGGCAGGGCAATAAAGCTGCAGCCTGCAAAGCTGCCTTCTGCCTTGGAGTGGGAACATGAGCATGGACTTTCATGACAGTACCAATGAAACCATTTAAGCTTTAATTAGCAGTCGTGTGCATTTGCTGCTGCTACTGCCAGGGACACCTTCTGCAGATCTTCAGAGCTGGTGGTAGTGGGTGGGACTTACACACAGTGCATGTTCCAATCTAATTGACTTAAATACTTCCTTAGCACCCACCACTACATGTAATTCCAATTACAACATCTCACATTCATATTTTACAGATCTTGTAGCATAGTGTGTTTCTGCTAGCTCTGTCACAGTTCTGAAGGCTGCCAGGAAATGTATCACAGCACAGTCAAAGTACCCTTGCTTTTGGTTGAGATGCATTGTGGTTTGGGATGTAAAATTGAATTTAAATTTTCACTTTAGTTTCACATTATTTCAAAAATTCAAGTTATACAGTTGAAGTCAGAAGTTCTTAAACTGTTTGTTTTTTCCCACTAAGTTTAAGTGCTTCACATTATTTAATCCTAGTGTCCTATGGATAAGATTTCTTGAGTCACTGAACTGCAGTATTCATTTATCTTGCTTGATTTTGTGCAGATAACAGTTCCTCAGGGAAAAGAACAGATGATAAAAATGGGGATGGCATAATGATGCCAAAGAGAGATCAGCTTGGAGGTGGTCGCCCAGCCCCAGAAACAGGTAAGACCAACAATGTGAATTAATTTTGAATTATGCCAGTTTTTCAGTCAGGTTCTGTAGATACAGATAAAGTGGACAAGAATTGAATAATGTACTTACATATTCTGAACTGTCCCTAACATGATCATGCAGTTTAGTTTCATAGTAGGAGTTGTTCTAATTACTGACATCTAAGTGATAGACTAGCTGTATTTTTAAAGCAATGTTTCAGGTTTTCTCCACCAGCGTCTGACTGTGTTAAATAAAATGTAATTTCTCTTAACCTCATTGTAGGTGCTGTGTTACCCTTAGCCTTAGGCTTGGCAATCACTGCTTTGCTGCTGCTTATGGTTGCTTGCAGACTGCGCTTAGTGAAACAGAAGCTCAAAAAGGCTCGACCCATTACATCTGAAGAGTCTGATTACCTCATCAATGGGATGTATCTCTAAAAATTGGATTTGGGTCAGTTGTTTCCTCCCCTTTCTCCTGTGTCCATGAATCTCTGCCTGTGTAAAAGGACCAAAATCTTTTGTTTATTTTCAAGTGTAGAAGAAGCCTATGAGATGAAGAACATACTCTTCCCCTTTGGCGATGATAGAAAAAGTGGGTAGATGACCTTGCTCAGAGAATAAGAAACATTCAGGCTCCAGAGCATAGCTCTAGTTGATTGTTGTGCAGAGGACGCTGCAAGGTGGGGAGACCCCAAGCTGGATGTGGGGTGCCCTTGCCCCTCCCCACAGCCAGGGCTGAGTGCACACCAGGGCCTGGTCACTGGAGCAGCCAAGGCTCCACAGCCCAGCTGTGTTGGCCAAGGTCGGGGGAAGCCTGTGCCATCTTGCTCTTCTCCGTGCTGCCACCACTGTGGGGCCCTGGATGCTCCAGCCAACATGTTCCTTCACCATCCAGCAGAGACCAGTTGTGTACTTTCCACCTGACACACTGGGAGCATTTTCATTAAAGAATGTGTCTTGCTTTGTTAATTAAAAGCAATTGCTATCCAGGCACCAGCTTTTGCAAATCAAACTGGGATTTAAGGAAGACAGCATGTTATTTTCACTCAGTTTAAACCTCTGCACTGCTAGCAGACAGCCATGCTTGCTAAATGCTGAAATGAAAAAATGCAGCTCCTCAGCTGGCTTGGGCTTCCCAGTGCTCGACAGCAGTCATGTACTGCTACCTAAAGAAGCTGTGGATGCCCCATTGTTGGCAATGTTCAAGGCCAAGCTGGATGGAGCCCTGAGCAACCTGGTCTAGTGGAAGGTGTCCCTGGCTGTGGCAGGGGGGTTGGAGCTAAATGATCTTTAAGGTCCTCTCCAACCCAAACCCCTCTATGATTCTGTGTACAATCCCAGGAACTGTGTCTCTCCCTGGAGCTCAGGGCTGGTTCAGCCTTTCCCACATCCAGCCCACCACCCTCACACAGTGTGAGAACAGCACAGAGCAGTTTCTGCCTGAGATGATGGAGTGTAGGATTCCTGCTGGTTATCCCTTAGCTCCCTGCAAAGCTTGAAAGCTTCAGTGATCTGCCCTTGCCCCAGAAAAATTCTCATAGAATTAGAGCAAGTAATTGATATGTGTGAGTGAACTGCAGATGTGTTACCAGTAAAATGTGTACAGTACATGTTATATATACATATATATATGCACACACTGTGCTGTCTGTCTTGTTTGGCTGTCCCAAGGATGTCACATTCCTCATGGGTCTCAATAAAACCAGAGTCAAATGAGGCATGCATTGTTTTGTATGTTGTCTTTTGTACTTCAGTAACTTTAAGTCAGCAAGAATATTTCCATGGTATACAAATAGTTCTTCAGGTAATTTGTTCTTAATTACTTTATGTAAAATAGTTCTAATAAACCAATTCTATTCTTATATTTATTGCATTGTCTTTCGTTTCCATTGCCAGCTAAATTCTGTGCTACAAGACTGCATCATGAGAGCAGACAGAATTTCTCCTTTCTGTGAAACAGCTTTATAAGAATCTGGAATGTGTATGGTTGGAGGAGTTGTTGAGATACAGGGAGACAGAGAAGGACAGGGCACCTGGTTGTGTGACCTCAGCTCAAGCAGTCTCTCAAGCAGCGCTTGAGCTGAGCAGGACAGCAGTTGTAGAGCTGGCTGTGCCAGCCATTAAGGGAATCTGGTTGCCAGTGCTCCCTGCTCGTGCCACATGAGGCAAAGTCTGTTTATTTGTACTTCAGTGTTACATGGGGTCCAGGAGATCATCTGCTGATGCTGCCCATTTCCAGTTTGGGAGTATGGCCTCTCTTCCATCCCAGCCCCCAGCAGACATGGAAAATAGTGCAAGGCCCAAAAGGCCACATTTTAAATACAGGCTTCTAGGGAAGACTCACTGCCCATTTGGTTTGGGGTCTTATTTTCCATTATTGAAATTTGTGTGGGGTTTTAATTAAATACCTAAATGTCACTCATCACCTTACCAAAGCAGCAAGAAAAGTGGTTCTGTCTCTCTGTGCCCACGGTGCTCCTACTACCAAAACCCATTACCCTGGCACACAGCCAGCAGCAGAACAAAAGGTTTGGTTTTGTTGTGCCGGGCAGGGCCTCAGCAAGGTCTGGCACAAAGCACAAGCTGGCCAGTGCAGCCATGGTGTAAGAGGCTGCTCAGCTTTCCAGTCACTCCACCCAACAGCAGGCTTTGTTTCTGTGCTGCTGCTAGTGGAATAAACCTTCACGGATTTTGCGAACGACAGCTGAGAATGAACGCCTGCAAGCAGAGAGCAGCCAGCAAGGTACAGGAGTCTGGCTAGTGCTGCCTTAGAGTGGCCAATCTTTCCAGGGAGTCTTCTTCCTGGGATGGGAGATGGTGACAATTGCTGCCCTGTGGGCCACCAGCTTGAGGCCTGTTACTTCCCAGGTGACAGCGAACTCAGGGCTGGAGTGAAATAAAATCGTTTTCACCTTAGCAGAGAGCCTGGGGGCATTGTCAGCTGGATGGAGAGCAAGACAAAGCTGGCAAAGTAACAGATTGGCTTGGAAGCTCCTGCAATTAACACACACACTGGTCTCAATATCATGTGTTTGCATTTAATGGCTTTCATGCTATTTGATTTTAAATAAGTCATACTAAACTACTGAGCTAGAGCACACCTGGGAGTAGCAGAAAATACTATAAACATGCTCAGGATGCTTTTCCCCTTCTCCCCAGGCAGCCACTGCCTCCTGCTAATACCACTTCCATAGCCCCTTCCCAGCCACTCCCAAGGTTGGCGCTCTCCCTCTGAACTCAAAGGAGTGCTCAGAGCAGGCAGTGCTTCTAGTCCATCTCCATGGCTCCTCACCTAGACCCCAGAGCTGGGGAGTTTTACAGAGTCACAGATCACAGAATATTTCTGTGTCAAAAGGGACCTACCTACAAGTATTTACCCAGTAGCAGAAGTGAGCCACACTGTGTGAAAGTCATCACTATTCTGTTTTTCCTGTCCTAAACACTGTGAATATCTGGATTAAGCATAATGGACTAAGCATATCTATGAATATGCTTAGTCCACCTATTCTTACCAGCGTCTTAGGTAAGCAGGGAATATTGACTACCCTGTCTGCATAGCCCTGTGGATGTTGCTCCTCTGTGTATTAGAAGAGGTCATTCAAATTCATTTTGTCAGTGTATTTTAATGTTGATCGAGATTCTTATTTCATTTAGACTTTTTTAAAAACTGTTTTGTCCTTCAGACAGCTTAAGGATACAAATTACTTCAGAGTAGCAAACAATACAATACTTACCTAGGTTTGATCAGTATTTAGAAGTAAGGAAGTTTTTCTTCCATAATATGGGCAGCTTACTGCCCACTTCTGCAGGGGATGCGAGCCTGAACATCTCACTCAATAGTATCATAGGATAATAGCAAGGGCAGTTCCAAGAGCACATTTACAAAACAAAAAGGCTGAAATAGGTCAGTGTGATGCTCCATTTGCTTTTCAAATCCTACATAAAGCATTAGAGTTTCAATCCCAAACTGCACAGAGCCAGCCAGAGGCATGAACCAATAGCAACAGAAACATGCCACCCAAAAACAAAGGGAGAGCCTTTCTAGTAAGCCCTAACAGAATCCACAGTCACGCATCACTGAGATCTGTGCTGGCTGTTTTCATGTGCATCAGGAATTGGGATTTTTCAGTTTCTAATGACAAAAGCTAAAAGAGTAAGAGCAAAGGGAAAAGCTAGAGAAGATTCAGAGAGTGTTGATGGGCATAAAGACCAGACAGAGGCAATAAACACACAGTAATTAATATGAAAAAGAGTCCATGACACACTTGGTCTAAGCTGAGTGACCAGGATCATGCTGTAAACAAGGAATATTTAAAGGGGGGAAAAAATGTGTAAAAGTAACTCTGTTCTATATTTTTCAAGTAATAGTTAGAACAACTGAAAAAGTGAGCTGCACTCTCTGCACTGGAGCCCTGAAACACAAAGAAAGAGAAATCTAGAATTACTGGATCAGCACACTTCAGAAACAAGTTTTTAAATACACCTGCTAAAATTTTAATTTTTGCATTTATAAGGCTCCTGGCTGACAGTTATAAACCACTCATAAATCAATGAAAAGTGTATTTTGAGCAAGTTGGCAGAAACCAGACAGGGCAGAAAAGATCAGTGAATGACTGAGTCACCACTTCCTTGGCCAACAGAAATGTATAATCCTGTTCTAAAGAGGGCAGAGCAAGACATTTTAACATAGCTCTTAAAACTACCAGATCCTAATGCATTAAAGATATGAATTTAAGCTTTCTACACTCAAACGAAGTGCCTGGGCAACACAGATATAGAGGGAGCAGGGAACTTGAATGAGTGCAGGACTGTAAAGGATTTGAAAGCAGGCAGCCCAGTGGAAGATTAGGCCTATAGGGAAAGCATACCTGAAGGCTAATTCCATGCCCAAGAGATGACTGTCCTAAGGCTGCCTCTATACTCAGAGCAGAGGAGCTTCTCTAGAGCTCTGATCAGAGCAGTAGACTTACCAGGTGCTCTAAATCACCCATTTTCCTAACCAGAGGCCTTCAAAAGTGTCCTAGTCCATAAGGCACCTGCAATAAAAGTTACTGATTTATCTCAGATGCCACTTCTCCATTATAGATGAAAAAGGATTTGGCAGAACAGAATAAACAAGACACATATTGTACAAACACATAAAACGCAAACATAAGCCCAAACATGGCTGAAAGAACTTCAACTTCTCAGAAGCATTAGAGAATGTTCTCAAGAGTATCTACCAGGTCAGTTGCTCAGAAGCATCTGATGGAAATGGCTGGACTACAAAGAAACCTTACAGAATAGAAATGAGATCTCAGAGTAACTTTATCAACAGTCTTTATGAAAATAGTCTGTTGTTGCTAAAAAGGTTTTGCTAAAAGGCACAGAATTGTCTCAAGTTCTAAGTTTGGTATGATGAAACATGAAGTGAGTTATTTTCATTTCTCCTTCTGAAGCTTTCAGGCAATTCTCAGTGGGCAGCTGAATCTCCTCCATACATATTTCAGCAATAGCTATGTCCACTCAATTAATAATCTAAAGAAATACAGTTTTAGTTCCTGAGCACATCCTGCTGAGCATCTCATTAACACCCTGCCAAGAGCACGAGAGAACAGTAACAGCCTTTCATAGGAAAATTCAGAGTGTATCCACTGCATCATGAATTTGTTCTGTGTAACAAACTACTACCTGGAACAGAAAGCAGCCCTGTTTGTTGAGGATGAAGTGTGGGAGGTAAATAGGCCAGGTAGAGGGAAGTTTATATCACCTCTGCCAGCACAAGGCCAAGTTTTAGTCCATGCTTATTTTCTCAGACCTGGCTGAGGCATGGAACCCCAAACCTTGTCAGCTGAGGGGTTGGAGCACACAAGTGTGTTATTTAAAATAAAGGCAAAGTGGGGTTATGATAGCTTAAGTGTCTGTGACTTACCACAAATGGTCTGCAGTTCACAACTTTTCACAGTTAAAAGTAGATGGACAAAACTCAAATAGACTCAAGGCAAAATGTATGAACACACAAAGCAACTTAAACCCTATGCCTGAAGCCATCTATTGTACAGCACAGTACTTAAACTCTAATTTACCCTTCCTCATCTATGAAGTCTGAACATCCTGAAATGCAAAAGACCAATTTCAGACCTCATCATCTCCTGCATCTCCCGTGCCATCTGTGAGGCAACACTTCCCCTCTGATTTTTTTTTGTTTGGTTCTGCACAATCTGCATATGTGACCTCATCATCTGCCTTTTTTCTGAACCAGCACTACCCCTTATTTACTTCAGCAGAATACCTCTTCCACATTGCTTGGGACAGGGATCAAGGTTACATAAAGGTAACTATTCATTTTCTGAAATGCATCCTAATATGTTTAAAATCAGCTAAATAGAACCAAGGTTACAAATCACGAGCATGATTTGTGTTACTCATCTTTTGTATTGTGTCAAAGTTCAGAAGGAATTGTCTCATGTCTTCCTTCTGTGAACTGCATTTTAATCAAAAGCAACACAACCTAGGGCACATTCATGAGTAGCAGGAAGAAAACACTGCTACTGTTAAGAATGGGTTAAGACCTTTCTTCCTGGCAGGAAGGAAAGTGCCAGTTCAGAATTTTCCTCTGACTATTTTTACTTTACTTCTTTGTGCTGATTGGTTAATTACACAGTCCCTTCACACTCAAAAATCATGGAGCTTGTCACCCTGCCACAAAAATACTGCACATGTGGAGAGAACTGCTGCCAGCTGCAAGCTCCAGAACCTACCACACAGAGCCCCCCCCGGCTCCAGGCATTATTGCTTGGTCCAAACTTGATGACTACAAAACATTTCAGGAATCATCCAGGTGGCTTCATCAGCAGTGCTGGTGCACACGTGCTGTGTGCTGGTTTCCCTCCAAAAGTCATGCTGGCTCTGATCAGTCTGAACAGAAAAAGTACACAGGTCATTCCTGCTACAGAAACAGAAAACATCCCTACAGCACATCAGACTCCTCTGTGGAGAGCCCACAACTCTTGGTGGGTTTTCAAGGTATTGGCTTTCCAAGTCTTCTACTGTCTGGATCCCAGAAACAACACGCAGATGTGTGTTTCAGAAATTCCTAACAGACACCAAAAACCCCACTTACATTCCAGGCAGTGGAACCTACTAACAGGCTACTAACAGGCTTTGTAACTGCTGCAGTACATTAATTGACTGAAAATGGACACATAGTTCTGGTCAGTTAGCAAACCAGTATTTTTATACATGTTTTCTTCTGGATATGTGAAATCCTGTTGAAGGTTAAAAAACAACAAAACCAATCACAAAATCAGACAGACACCTAGATACAGCTTCCTCTCAATTTGTTTTATTTGGCAAAGTAGCAATTCAGACAGTTCACACAGCACTTATTCAAACTCTTCAAGTCTTCTGCATTTCAACTTGTCCTTGTCTCCAAGTTTTTACTTCAGAACCATTGCTCCATCGTGGAGGAATTTCCATTTTCGACTCCTAAATGCTACTCCTGGATACTCCTTTCTGTCCTAGTACCTTGACTATCATCAACCCCTTCAGTGGAATGGGTGCACTATTCCCACCAGCCTTGGTCCCTGAAGCCTTACACCTCCTGAAGTGGTTCTCCCCCAGGAAGCTGTCATTGGGTCTCAGCTTTAACACCACTTCCAAGTCAGGCTAGCTTATTACACTGTGTCCAGAGACAGGAATTTGGATACAGTTGAGCTCATATCTTTCATTTAACTGATTAAATTAGTGAGAAGATGTAAATAAAGCTGAACTCAAACTGAAAGATACAGCGACCAAAAGGTTGAACGTTAGCATGCATCAGTTAAGATAATTCACTTCAACACCAAGAACTAGTCACAGTTGATTGTGGGTTAGTACAAATTTGTCAGATGCAAATGGATTTTTCTGGATTGTATTTTCTAAAATATGTACTATATTAATTTCTTTATAAGATTAATCTTGTGCATGTGCTCCCAGGCTGCAGTCAGATCAGGAGGTGGTACATTAACTTCCAAACATCTAAAAAAATTAAGATACTACTATAGCATCTTTCACAGAGGAACAAAATGGGACGGGCCTTCAAAAGGCAGGTTATTTAAAACATTCTTTTTCCATATTTAGAGGCCTTTGAATTATAACCTGTATGCTTCCAGGGATTAATCCGATCACAAAATTATTGCTCTTCCACCATAAAAAGTTGTTTTGGGCTTTTTTCCAGTGATCACTATGGGTTGTTTTAGTCTATAATCCTACCAATTTTAAAAAAAGAAAGGAAAGTACACTGCTTATTTTAGTTCCTGGTTGGTCAAATATGAGCAAGGTGACTGAAGACACACTTCCCTCCTTTCCTAAAACAGCCCACCTTACTGTACTGCTTCACAATTTGCTGATGATATTTTACAGTACCAAAATAGAAAATTTAGGGCAGAAGAAACTTTTATAGCCTTCCAACTATTCTTCTACATGAAAACTGAACAAGTGCGTTTATTTGTACTTTGGAGTCCAGAATTCTTTCTGATGTGTTCCTTTTACAGCAATTTAGAATTCACTTTCTAAAAAGCCAGAATTTTTCCTGGGTGTCCAGTTATAAAAATAAGAACGTTAATACAGCAAATGGCTTTACCAAAAAGAACTTTCTTTTAGAACTAAAGGGGGTTTTGGCTTTTAATAAAGAACCTAGCAATCCACATCTCAGTCTACCTACCCATCCTAATCTTCCACACAAGCACAAAACCCCCTTTTGCTTTTAACTTTATCTGGCAAAGCAGCATTGCATAAATTGTTCAGTGATTGGAACACACCTCACCTCACAGTTATGGAGTTAGCTCCATGTGTATCACACAAGCACTGAGTTATAAACCACAACAGAATTTCAATATTACATTAGTCAGTTTTAGAAGGAAAGGGAAAACCATGTCTGTGATGTCCAGCTTGAACAGCAATGTTTCATAAGAGTGGCAATCTACCTCTGATGTTGAGAAATTTAATATATACAATGCCTGGCTTTAAGGTAAAAAAGCAGCTGATTGTATCTACTACATGCTAGTCTATGACACCATGTCAAAAGCTTAGGAAGGAAGTTCATCTCCTTTTAGTAGCATCTAGCAGACGTTGGAACACAGAAAACCTGGTATTACCTACGTAGTGTCATAAGGTGCACAGAAGCAGTTTTACCAAGGGACACAGGAGCCGATAGAAGTGAGTGTTCAAGTTCCCCCATCAAAATCAGAGTTCACAAGCTATAGGTCTTTATCTGCAGTTTTGCAGAAATTCACTTTGAACAGATGAAAGTGAAATAAAGGCATGTTAAATAAAACAGTGCCCACATAAAACTTTCCACCATTTCTTTATCAGATTTGTCTTGAGCATCTAAAAAAATAAAACAAACACCACGCTTTTCCATGCTGATAACAACAGTATAACGAAGTCCAAAACAAGCTGCAATGCTGTTGGTTTTCAAAAAGCTTTTAGAACTGGAGATGAGCAGTCCACTGTAACACTATGTTTGGGTCAAGATGATGTAGCTTTTACAATTCATCCCTGTAGAAAGAAAACACATGCAGTTATGTTTCTTCTCCCCTTGGAAATGGTATTTGAAAAGTTTTGATATTGAAACAAGTTACATTTAAGTGCTCAAGCACATCAGCAAAACTTCAGAAATCTCTTCAAGCACTTGAGAAAACAAACAAACACCAAAGGAAAGGCAACAGCAATCCCATATCATCTCATACTGCTATGTGACTTATTGTGAAATATGGGTCCCTCTATTTTACATTTAATGGACCCCTTGCTCTAAGGAAACCCCCCACACTTCACAGCTAGTAACACAGCTACCTGCCATCTGAATTCTGCTGGCTATGCACTGGCAAGCAACTGAGCCAACTTACTAGACAGAGTATTGGCAAAACCCATCCTCTGTAGCTTCCTAAAAGGCAAGTTTAGCTTCAGCTGCAGTCTCTCAAGAAAGTGGGAACAGAGTCTTGCATCCCTGTTATGCAGTTTGTACCACTTAGTTTATTTATTTCTCAGAGGAACTCGATTAGCTCCTGAAGGAGCTATGATAATTCAGGAATAGATTATAGAAAGGTCGGGGGCAGGGCAATGTGTGTGTGTGTGTGTGAGCTAAAAGGAGATCTAGTTAGGAGAAAGGATACATCAAAAAGTCTCTCTAAATCACTGAAAGGAATCTAGAAAATGCAGGGTTTTTTTCCTGTAGGACATTTAAAACATGTTGAAACTAGAAAGCCACAGAACCTATATTCCAACTATAAAGTTATCATATAGTAGTGATTAAGTATTTTTGAAGCATTAATTTTAATGCAAAACACCCATCAAATCTGAAAGCTGTGCCCTGTGCCACTCTGATCAATGGAAAACTCAAAGATACATGCTTTGCCTCTTATTTTTTTTGACAAGGCACAAGCAATCTATAAATTCAGAAGGAATTTGCTGCAATTTTTCTTTTAGTAGGTGCATCAGCCTCATTAGCCAAAACAAACAGTGTCTGAATTAGAAAAAAACTCATCAGTAATGTGATTGCTGGCTCAATACACAATAGTATTTCCAGCTATCATGCAAACTAACCCACAAAAATATAGTTCTACATGCACAAGTACAAAACCTTTAAGTTCCATAGACATTATTATGCTCCAGGAATCATATAGCATGGAATGACAGCATGCAAAACATTTTAAAAGCAACTGAAAAGGCTGTAGAAACTAGTGCTTAAATTACTAGTTTTCTATCTAATGCAGTGGGGATGCAAATGTTGTGATTTGTAAGTGATAAATATTTGCATTCTTTGCACTTTGCACTGCCTCCTAATAGTAAAGTACTAATCACACAGCTTTACAGCACTGCAGTAATTACACACAGCAGAAAAAAGCAGGAGGCGGAAGAACACATCTTGGCAGGGATAAAGAAAAATCTGTTTATAGCTAAAGGTTTGGAAGCTCTCCATATTTGCCAATCTCACAGAATTTGCTTATTTTAAACAGATAAAAAGAAATAAACATCTGATACCCAGTTTAAAATGCAGTGCCAGTGAATTCAGGACAAGTGCTTCATTCATCCCTAACACTTCCAGGAGCTGCACCATCAGTTAATTTTTACAACTTCAAGAAGTGTTTGTAAGTAATGACTACTGCTGTTGCTGGCTTAGTTTCATATGCCTAATTGTGGGTGTGATTTTTATTCTGATTCCTACCACACACTCACAGCTTTATAAAACCCTGGTCTTTTAGTGTGACAAGCAATTCATAATCTTTTAAACCCAAGGCAGATCCTCAAGAAACTGTAAGCCTAAGAAACATTCTGTATTTACTTGAAATTATTAAACATAATGATTTTACCCAGCTGCAGATGTTAGCAAGGCTTTTGCATAATGTTGCTAATGCACTTAAAAGTATTTAAAGTGTGGGTTCGTTTTTTCTTTTCCAAAATGATATTTCTACTTAAAACATAGAGGTATTATATAAATATATAATTTAAAGTAAATTATATTAGCATAGCAATGATTTCATTGTTGGTATTTTTCATTGCTTAAACATATTCCAGACATCCTATATGTGACATCCAAATTAAGTATTTTCATATTTTATTTTTTAGAACATTTACTTTATTAAAGGGGATCAGCTTTCCTCAAGAGGTTTTTCACTTGCTCTTCACTACTCCTAAATCTAACAACAGCATGCCAGCCCAAACCAATCCATGATGTGTTAAGATTATACAGCATTTATTTTCTCCAGATAGAAGTTGAATTTATATGTGCACTATTGGATCATATGTATTAGAAAGTTCCAGACAAGTCTCAGACCACCTGATAGGTAACAGTTGTCAGCTTTCTCCCTAATGTAGCACAGCTTGCAGATATAAATACATACTGCAAACCAGCACCAGCTGACCTGAGCCAATCCTATATGGATTGGAAGCTGCCAAGCTATGCAATCCACCAGATTTCAGTGACTGGTAAGAATCAGGATACTTTAGCCTATCTCCCAGTGGTACAACAAAATCTATCCTGCTACAAAGCTTAAAATGAGACTCAAAAGACAGCCCTTTCCTTGTTAAAATGATCCTGTTGTCCTCTAGAGCCACAGGAAAGATCTAGTACTTTGCATTCTTTCTAGCCACAGCTATTTACTGTGACTCTTACACAACTCACGTAATTTCTCCCCACCTTCATATATGCACTCCTTCCAATCAGCTTACCAGCTCCTGCTTAGCAAGCAGTACATGTATTTAGGGTTTAAGTCACCACAATAGTCCTTCTCAGGCTTTTGTAATTTCAGCAAGAGAAAAACTCATCTATCAAATGAGGCATCAAAGCAATTTTGTAAACTCAAGTTAAAGCAAATTTCAGAAGTCATTAGCTCAAAATTACTATTTTTGAAAAAATGTAAGAAAGTTTGAAAAATTTTCGCTTACTACTAGAGAAAACATATACATGAATATTCTACACTTCCATTATGAATATTCAACAAAAAACATTCTCAGAAAAAAAATCTAATACGCAGCTTTTCAGGTAAACTACAAACTCTAATCAACAATAAGTTTGGGATACAAGTAAGTCATGGAGCTTTGTGATCCCTCACCACCTCTTTAGTGGAAGGGATTCAAATTCAATATTTAAACAAACATTTATAAATCTGTCTGAAGTCTGTATCTCACTCTTTTAGGTCCACTTCAATTTTCTTGTCATTAGGCAGCATTTGACTTTCCCTTCTCAATACGTCATTCATCTACGAAAAACATGGTGTCATTACTAAAAGTGAAATTCAGAGTGTAGCCTTTTATGAATTAGAAACACAGCATCTACTCAATGTTTCAGCACCCCATTATTTCTCACTTAATAACTTTAAAGATGCAATATTTAGACTTGCAGCATTTTAATCTGGAAAGGTGCTATTATAATATATTTATTATTTGCTATGATCAATCATAAAATTGAGAATAAATTGAAATGATAAAGGAATTTTTTCAGTAATCTACTGTATCAGATATACGACAGTCACATTTACATAACTGTATTGGGTTTGCCTAGCAAAGTTTTGGTAGTGGTGAGGGAAGAGTGTACTGTAGGGGTGGCTTCTGTGAGAAGCTGCTTTAAGCTTCCTCCGTGTTCCACAGAGCCAACACCAGCTGGCTCCTAGATGGACCCTCACTGAGCCAGTCAGGAATGGAAGCAACACCTCTGTGGTAACACATTCAAGGAAGAAAACAGTTATTGCACAGAGAAGAGTGGGGTGAGAACAGCCCTGCAGACACCCAGATCTGGGGAGGAAGGGTAGGAGCTGCTCCAGGTACTGAGCTGAGATTCCCCTGCAGCCCCTGGTGCAGACCATGGTTAGGCAGCTGTGCCCCTGCAGCCCATGGAGGATCACAGGGATGCAGAAATGCACCTGCAGCCCCTGGAGGAGTCCGTGCTGGAGCAGGTGGATGCCTGAGAGGAGACTGTGAATATGTGGGAAACATGTTGGAGCAGGCTCCAGGCAGAGGCCTGCAGACCCATGAAGAGAGGAGCCCCCAGTGGAGCAGGTTTCCTGGTAGCACTTGTCACCCTGTGGGGAATCTACACCGCATCCCAAGAACAGCGACACACCTTGGAGCAGTTAATGAAGAACTGTAGCCCATAGGAAGGACTCATGTTGGAGAAGTTCATGAAGGATTGTGTCCTGTGGGAAGGACCCCCACAATGAAGCAGAGGAACGACTCCCCTCCCTGAGCACCAGGAGGAAGAACATATGATTAAATGACTGCAAACCCCATTCCTTGCCTCATTGCACTGCTAGGGGGCAGGATGTAGAGCTAGGAAGGAGGGACAAGGGGTGCAGGAAATGTGTTTCAGGGTTTGTTTTACCTTTCATTATCCTGCTTTGATTTTGCTTGGCAAAAATTTCAATTAACATCCCCAAGTCAAATCTGTTGTAACTATGGTGGTATTTGGTGAGTGATCTCTGCCTGTCCTTAACTCACCAGCCTTCTGTTGTATTCTCTCTCCTCTGTCCAGTTGTGGAGGGAGCAGCTTTGGTGAGCACCTAGCATTCAGTAAGGGTCAAACCACCCTGATACATAATACATAATTCCTAAATTTAAACTAAAGTATTTTATGCAGAGATTCTTTTTGCCAAAGTAAAATAAAAACTTAAACCGCAATCATTACTCTGCATGGCCTGAGGAATTCCAGCAAACAATTCTTGCTAATTTCAAACTAAACTGGTCAACTAGCTCATCAAGGGCACTTGAAACATTGAATTAGAGTTTGTAAGCAGAAACATATTAAAAGGTATCCTAATAAATACATTTTCCAAACTGGTATTAATCATGGTTTTTGTAGATAAGTGGGATACAGTAACAGCCCGAGTTTAGTCACTGAAGTTTTTTCTCCAGAAAGGTCATACTGTCATTATAATTTCGTATTTTACCAGCAAATATGAATTTAGCATGACATATAAAAATAATTTCTACTAATACAATATATAAGACAAAAGTAGTTTTTAACATTTTTAAACAGCTGCCTGTCTGGAAATCAAATCTGAAATGCAACAGAAACTCACTGCTCTTATTTACATTGTTATTCTCTTATGCCTCTGTATGAGCAGTAGTGTGGCCAGCAGGACAAGGTATCCCCTTAAAGTGTTAAAAGAGGTCTTGAAGCAGGCCTTAGGAACATGGTTTAGAGCGGACTTGGCAGCACTAGCTTACAGTGAGACTCAAAGACCTTAAATGTGTTTTCTATCCTAAATAATACCATGATTCTATGACACTTAAAACTGTCTTTCCATGTAAGTAGTAAGTGAAGTAATAAGTTTCATTTCACAGAGAAATAAAACCAGAGATATCCTAACTTATACAAAATCTGCCCATAAGGCAGCCATCAAGCCATGCTCCCAACTGTGCAACACAAGGGGCCTCTCTCCACCTTATTTTTCAGTAAAAAAAACCCAAAACAATTGAAGTTTTATATGAAAGGATACCCTTACTGGTATAATCCCATAACTGGGCATTGACTGCTGGATCTCTGGCACACTGCATTGTTTTGTTTTGTACCAGAGATAGGGTTCCTGTGTATATTCTACTTCTAAATGTTCCAGGAAGTCACAGCTGAGAGGATTCCCACCAATATTGGGGGCTTAAAAAATTACTACTGCAACTGAACCAAAACTACAAAGTCATGGCCTAAATCTAAATAAATTTAACAGTATTCACAAGTAAGATGCTTTATTTAGCACAGTATTGAAATCCTTTCGCTATAAGTTCCAGTTTTACATAAGCAAGCATGATACCTGAAGACGGGGTTGACTTCAAACATCACTTAAGAGTGTTGTGCTGCTTTGCAAAAGCACGTTACAGCCCCATTAAAGAACATTCCAAAATGTGAATGGCTCAGCAAAAATTTAAACAGCTTCTTTCCTGCCAACTAGAGGGTCTGTTACCCCAGGAAAACACTGCTGGCCTATCAACTGTATTCTGTGGAGGGACACCCGTTGTTCATTCAATGTGATGAAAGAGTTACCTGTATTAGGAATGAAATCACATAATGTAAACCGAAAGAATGACAAAGTAAACACACAGAATTGAGCTAATCTTAAAATTATTATTGTTTAATGAATTTGAGATTTACAGCGACTAGACTCCCATACACTAGATTTTTATTACAGAAACTCTTAAGACATGCTTTTTCAGAGGAGTCTCTAACTGAACTCTGCTCACTGATTTTGAGCAATTTAGAAAAGAAAAACTGAAGTCTAGGAAGTGAAGAAAAAGCACTTCTTTTATCTTTGATGCTAGCACAGATAGCAAATGCTGACTTATAGTTAGGAATTTCCTTAGCAGCAGCTGCCTGACCATACACTTCATAGCCAGCAACAGGGAAAAACAAAAAAAAGAAAGATGTGACCTCCTGTAAGGTCAGCAGTACATTGATAGTTATCCTAGAAAATGAAATGGGAATTTTCTTCAGATCACAAAAAGAACAATTAAAGAAATAGCAAATGTTACAAGAAGTAGACTTCTGAGATTTTCTTTAACAGAGAGTCCCAAGACTGAATGAAATTTAAATGTGCATAGCAAGATACAGCCTCTATGCCATTGCAGATGAACCTTTCAGGCTAAGCACTGATAGCTTCTGATAACACCACTGTAAATTCTTAAAATAAAAATAAATAAATAAAATCAAGAAGTGTTTCAGAAAAGCACAGAAAATGGCATGAAATTGTGGGGGAAATAACCCTACAGTATGCATGACTGAAGAAGGCCCAAAGACAAGCTATTAGCTCTTCCCAAGCTAGCAGACAAAATGAAATACCAAACTGCACAGAAGAGATGCAAAAAAATCAGAATTCTAGTCTTTAACACAGTAGTCTGCCTCCACTTGCAGCAAGGGATAAATACTGTCATTTGGGAAACCCTTCCTGAAGTGTATTCTGAACACATACTGCTATCCTTTTTTTGGCATACCAAAAAAAAATCCCAATTGCTACTATAATCAGATTAGGTGGAAAGAGAGAAAAATCTATGGAAACTCTCTGAGAGGAGGAAGACTTAAGAAGACGACTACTCTTTTTTAGAGCAAGTGAAGCATGGACTCCAAACCTAAATGAAACATTTGCCAGAGGAGGAAACTGACCACAAAGGAAAGCTTCCAAAGCCCTACAAGAGGCAGGAAAGCCCCGAGTACCACACTGAGGGAATACTGGCAATATTCGAGGCCAAGGCATTCATTTGCATAACAAATACAAAACATTTGAATAACAAGCACGCTTCATAAGCTTTGAAATAAGCAGTATCTCACTGAAATTGTTTTAAGAGTAATTTGTACATGGTGGCTATACAGTAATCCAAGAAACACTGAAATGAGGTTTCACTAAGCAACAGTATGCAAACTGCTTTATTTGTCTTTTTTTCTGAGTATTTTGATAGGTAGATTAAGTATTCATATTCAAATCACAAGCTATACTCCAAAATATCAAGGGGAAAAAAGCCACAAATCTAAATTTAGGTTTTAAAGCTCAAGAGCTGTTTTCAGAGCTCAGTGCACATCTCTGTACTTCACTCTTGCCAATAATACATTCACAAGCACTTTCTGCCAGTAAGCAAAGCAGCACTGCTGCTTTGTTCATTCACTGCTGCATGTTCATACACATGCCTAGCATGGCTTAAGCTGACAGCTGCATTAAGTCTATTTATTCATTTATTATTGGCTGTTCAATTCAGCAAACTGGAAGGTTTCCTACTTCTAGAAAGGCCTTTAGAGTTTGCTGTATTGGCAAACACAAATACTGCCCCATCAGAGACAGATGACAGACTTCTAATAACATGTCTAAGAAAATTTTCTAAACTACTCAACTACATTTATACTTTAGGGAAGAAGGAATTATCTTCTCTACGTTTTTCTACTTGAAGGCTAAAGGAAAAGCGCTTTCAAGATCATCTACATTTTCCACAAAGGATTTTGCTAAGATTTTTCTTCATTTGTAGTGTTTCAAAAAATAAAAAATGAACACCCAACTACCACTAACTTAAAGGACAGAACAGTATTTATTAAGTAAAATTTTACACTTCACCCTAATTATTGGGTAAAATAGTTATAAAAAGTTCATTAAAAGTGAAGCTTAACCTTAGAAAATTCTGTGTTTAAAACAACAAATAAGAATATTCAAAACACCAAAGACTAAAGAAAACATGTCCAAAAAAGACAAAGTGCAACCCATGCAATATTTTTCTTCTGCTTTTAATTTAACTCAAACTTAGCATAACCTCCCTTGAGTGATGTAGTAATGCAGACTGAGTCACTTTTCATGGTATGGAGTAGCAGAAAGCAATGACAGCAGCAAAGGCAGGCCTTGCAGTCTATCTGCTTAAAATTCACACCCTTTCACCTTGCATGTGTGTGGAAGAAGTTAAGTGGAACAGAAAATCACTTCCACCTGGACCACTGCTTCTCTTTATCTGTTAAAGGCACATATATCACTCCCATCAGAGGCTTCATTTTGACACTGCCATCTTCTAGTTTGTCATACTGTTCGAGCATCTGGTTTCCCCCAGCAGGGCCAACTGGTAATATCAATCTTCCGCCAGGTTTTAACTGGTCTATAAGCTAGAACACAACACAGAAATTAGAATGTAACCAGCCACTTCAGAGAAGCTGGATCCAAAGTTTGTTACAGTAGATTAATTAATCCAAAGTTTGTTACAGTTTTGCCATTATGCATCTATCTACTTTTATGCAGTAGATAACTACTTCCATTAGGAAAAATAAATAGTGCATTGAAAATGAGAGTATTACAGCAACATGGTACAAAAACTGGTATTACAGTAAAATGATTTAATTGACTGGGTAGGTTGCAGTTGTATTTTCTATATACATGAGGGAAACATGTAAATCACAAATTATTTTTACAGCAGATTCAATCTTTTGAAACTCTTTAACTATTCAATAGTTATTGTGCATCAGTACAGGCCCATTGTCAAAAATTCTGGGGTAAATTATCTCCCCTTAAGCCCTCAGAATAAGATTTGAGATTGGTGACTTTTCATTATTTCTCTTCCTGGAAAAATTTTATCTACAACACACTCACTACCCAACAGCTCCTCTTTCATTTTGTGAATGGAACAGCCTTTTATGAAACTAGCCTAGCATATATGAATATGACTAAGATAAGTGACATGTAAACACGGTATGTGAGAAATGCTTGTATTTTTTTTCCATTAAAAGAGGCTAATCACAGTAGTCTCAAGGAAAATTTCAAACTTCCCAGACATCATGAAAAAAAACCACTTAATCCCCATTGCTAACAAAAGTTATAATTGAGACCCGTTTCATTCACAAATAAGCTTTCAATTACTTTTTTGAAACATTTGTCAACATTTGCATTTTTGCTGGGAACATCGTCCCGCACACCCCCACCAAAAAAAAAAAAAACCCAACGAAAAAACTCAAACAACAAAATACAAACAAATAAATCCCCCTCAAAAAAACCCCAAAAAACCAAAAAAAAAACAAACCTAAAACCATAACCTACTTTAAAAATTAAGCAAAAAAAAACCCACCACCACCGGTCATTGTTTGAAAATGTCCAATTTGTCTATAACACCTCAAAGCCCAGTCTTTCATTATCCTCACTAAGATTTAAAAACCTTAACTGGCATCTAGCATATAAAAATCATGCTATGTATTACCATCATGTGCCTGGTGAAGAGAAGAGAAAAAAAATCTTATTTGTAAAAATGGACTATATGTATGCATACTCTAAAGTCCCAGTTACTCTTCAGCTTCTCTGGTAAGAACTGCCCTGTATCATTCTGAAAGCTATGAACAAATGGCACTGTTTGTACTTCCAGCTGAGCACTTTACTTTCAACAGACTCAGTGCTTTGGAACTTGGGAAATGCACTTAAATTGAAGTGTAATTCATTGTTTGCTAAAATTGAATTACCTTATTAAATAAAATTCTCCATTTCATTGTTGTAATAGAGGGTTGCACACATGTAATTTTAAAATATGTTTATTTAAAGCAGAGTTATTAGAATATACAGCTGTATCAAACCAACAGGAAGCCCAGTTGTAACAGAGACAAAAACCCCACACCATACAGTAATACCACACTGTCCACTGATACTCCCAGCAGTGCAAGCTACCAAGTATTTTACATATAGATGTAAGCAAAGCATTCTCTACAGCTAAGATATTACAGAAACACACACACAGAACATAAAGGCTTACTGCTTGGGGCACAACTGGGGCTGCAGCTCCAACATGAATGGCATCATAGGGAGCTTCTTCTGCATATCCCATTCGTCCATCTCCCACTGCAAGAAAACACTATTTTTTAAAACATTTTCAAAAGGACTGGAGTAAACAGCTGGTTTTCCATATCTACACATAAAAAAATAACACATTTGTAAAATAACTGCAACAAAACACCCTTATATGTGCATACACATGCTTACAAAATACACTAAATACTATGGAAGCATCTGAAATTAGAAAGCATGGATATATAACGAAAGTTCTTGAAAACACATGATCCACCTAGAAAAGATAAAGTATTTATGTTCCCTACCGATTCCAGTGCAGGTGAGTTTCCCCCCTCATTTACCCTCTTAGTACGTAACACTTTGCTTTGCCTTGTCATGTACACCATTCTTAAACATAATGCAAATCCTAAATCCAAAGCATTAAATGTCAGAAGCACATATCAGAAGACTCCAAAGGTGAGGAAAATACAAAGGAAGTGTTCCCATGGACTATATGCCTACAACTGCATTACCAGTTGGAACAAAAGCCCACACCTATATGCATACATTAATGCAGTACTGCAGTAACCTCTGCACACCCCACATTCCAGCAGACTGGCCCCACTACTCTTCCTGCAGACAATCACTGCTAACAGAGAGAGCCAGGTCAGATTAATGGCTAAAGCTCCAGTTGACTGCTTGGAAAATTCTAGGAGCAGCAAAGGTTTTCAGAGGTTACCAGTGCTGCTTGAACTTTGGAGGAGAACTCATGGAGGAGCACTCTATCACAGATGTCTCATACCGTCCCAGTTATGCAGAAGGAAAGAGTAACATTCTGGGTTTTCTAAGCCAATGAAATGTGACAAACTAAACGGGACCTTGAGTTAAGTTTTGAAAGAAGGCAATGTGGATATGGCATCCACAGAATTTACAGGAAAGCAACAGGAAATCAAAGGAAGTTAGGCAGGCTCTCTCTGGAGTTATTTAGAACAAACATAGTAAGTGAGGCTGAAGCAACCATAAATTCGTACTATGTGATTACAGAAGTTCCAATAATCAGTCAAGAAGAAAAAACATAGAAGTTAATTCCTCTGATCAGCACAAGTAATTTGGAGTTTCCCATCTTCAGGCTCAGATTTGACTTCTTTCAAACACCATTATCACAGGTTAATTAAAACTGAAAGAGTCAAAAGAACTGCTACAGCCTGGTCAGAGGCTGAAAAAATCCCAATTTTTTGCCTTCCAAAAACTTACAAGGCAGAAAAAAACCCCATGGTAACCACAGCATGATAAGGAGGGTCATCTGGACAGTAAGAGCATCCCTAGGTATCCAAGAGTACAAGAAGACCTGGACAGCTCCTCAAACCAATTAAAACTGAAGTGTTTGTAATTTTCCTTATGAGGTCCTAAAAGATGACCCTGGCAATGACCTTTTGCATTCATGCTCATTAGGAGAGCGCATTTCCTCAGAAGCTGAGAAGCCTTTTAGAAGTCAGTGACATAAATACTCTTATCAATTCTGACCAGCACAAGCTCCAACCAAGGGCCACAAACAAAAACTGCCAAGCAAGAAGTACCAGTGCTTCAAGTGAACTCATCCCTATTGATCACCATTTCCACTAAGTCAGATGGCAACAGAGATCACCAGTAATGAAAGTTACAGTATTTTCAGGATGTAATCCCTCTGACTGCCAAAGCATATAATTAATACTTGTATCTTAGTAGCACTGTACAACTCTTCTAATGAAGCAGCAATCATATGTTACTGAATCAAGCTGCTGTTCCATCAGAGATGGCAATGAAGAAAGACTTCTTTAGGTTATTCATCCAGATACTGCTATAAATTATGTTAGTTACAGAAGAAGGCAGATCCTCATTCCCCAGGGTGCACAGCAGGCCTTAGAAGCAGCCATCTCCAGTATTGCTGGCAAAATAAATGATTGCCAAGTTGAAGAAGCTGCTGTGAAAGAAACTGCTGTCACTTCTGAAGAAGAACACATGTACTCTGAGACATAAATGTCCCTAGTGCACTCTCCAGAGAAGTGGAATGTGACTTCTGCACATCTTATCACTTTACTGAGAGGTAAAACAGACTCAAAAGCAACTAATCCCTATGCTCTCAGAATCAATACCTAACATCTTCAAAAACAGCACACACTCAACCAAAGGGGGAAACAATCAAGCTCCCTTCATATGCATCACGCACAGCATGGCTCTTCCCTTTTAAAATACACTAAAATTCTTACAGTTACAGAAGAAATATATCCACCCACAAAGGCAACACAATTTTAGATATCCAGAACATTTAAAAAATAGTTAAGTTGGCATTCATATATCCAATGTCATTCAAATTACTGTATTATTCAATGTCCAAAGGGAAAGAGAAGCTCAAACTTTCAGCTTGTGTTTAAATCCTGAATAATGTTACCTACCCAACTCCTATCTCCAGTTACATGCAGCCTGTTAGTGAAGAAATTGTGGTGGTGGGTGGCAGGAGGTGATGAGGAAAAAGTGTCAGGACATTTTGATATAAAAAGGTTCTTGCTTATAAATCCAAACCTGATCTACTGATCAGAGTACCCAATACTTCAGTGCCTCTATACAGACCTGTTTCACACAGAGTTGTAGCATGAGCACAGAAACAGAAGAAAATTACTTCCATCAATCATTTAGAACCCCTCATCCTCCCTGGCTGTATCAGCAAATAGTGCAGTACAATAGAAGCAGATCTGTACAGCAAAAGTTTTTGCTGAGAACCTGGCATCCACACAACTTATACACTTCAGGATAATTGCTGCAGTCTAGATCTAAGTCTTATTGTCTTAATATGCACATATCAAACATATCTGGCTGCTTCTTGGAACACATAATCCTGTCTAGTTTAATCCAAGAGGAATCAAATTGTGCTTTTCAGGAATAGTCTCACACGATCCAAAGAGTGATAAGTGGAAACACTTGAGAGATTCACCTCATTTCCTCCTGATATTAAGAGGAAACAAAAAAATCAAGTTTAAAAAAAAATTTGAAAAAATCCACAAACTAACTAAAGACATGTTAGTCCAAGTATACCTATTCCCAATGTCTCAATGCAGTTGTAATGAGACACCCCAAAATAATTTTGGTGTTCCTGAAATACAGTTATGGTATATGTGACATAGGACAAAGCAGAGTAGAATGTCTGAAGCACACTGTGAAAAGCCAACAAGTGACACATCTGGTCTTATTTCATACAGCTCCCATGATCAATTAACTGGTTTTCACAACTTTTTTGTTTGTGTATTTGAGATGGGGGGGTTTTGGGTGGGATTTTCTTTTGCTGTCTTTTTGTTTTAAATTAACAGCCATCTGGATTCTTCCTCCACATCAAAGAGTTCCCAGGAATCCAACACAGTTGAAACATTCTTCTCCACCTAATTCACAGAAGTATTACTTGTTCATCTGTACTTTTTTAAAATGTACCTCACAACAAAACTATCTACAAGTCTCTTAGTCAACCTGCTACATAGTCAAAAATAATGTAGATAATTATGTTTACTGAGAATTCTAGACTTGCAAGACCACCAGAGTTTGTTTCAGGAATGAAATAAAAATTGCTTTTGTACAGCATCAATGGAAATTATTCCCTCATTCCTCCTCTGCAGCCCTGGCAGCCTAACTTATTTTCCAAGAAGTTCTGAGATATAAGCGTTCTCTGTGAGATACGGTGCATTTTATACCTGTGTACATGTTGATAAACTTATTTAAAAAAAATTAGAAAAGTCCCTCATTTACAAGAAAAGATCAAGAATCAAAACGCTAATTAAGCTAAGAGCCAAACATCACATAATAATAATTTTTCCAAGTGTTCTTGTAAGAAGCCTCAAAAAATTTCCAGACCTTCAACTTCTTTTTTAAACATAGTGAATAGAATGACACTTTCTTCTTGCCAGCCTTGCATCTTCTAAGAAAAACAAACATTAACCAAACAAAAAATCCCAAACAAAGGAAAAGAACAAACAAAACCCAAGTCCATTTTTTTTAAGTAAAAAACATTATTTAAAATAATTCACTGTCCTTTTATCATTTGGGCATTATTTCCACTCAGTAACTCTAACTGAATTAAAGTACTTTGGTGTCAATCACTTCCCTAACATCCAGCTACTGACAATTTTAAAAACAAGTGAAATAAACATCAGTGGTGCATACTGCCATTCTAGTACTTTTTCCACTTGAATCTTTGCATGCAGCTTTCTCAGCTACTCTATCAGAAATATGAAGGCTTTGTTAAAACACTTAAATTTAGATGACAGGGTATTTATTCAAGAACAGTTGTAAATTTAACCCCAATTTTAAATAACAAATACAACACGACAGACCTTCAACATGTATTTTTACCAAAAAAAACACTGCCCTGTTAACCTTTTCTAGTAGAATGATTATATAGTCTTTGAGATCACCTGAAGTCATACTCTGAAAACTGGGGGAAGATACTAATTTTCAAGAGCAATTTAAATTTTAAAGTTTTCATTTGGCTTCTCTTTCTTGGGTTTAGCTTATTAAATTCAAACCTTTAAAAACATCCAATTCAATCATTTTCAACCAGCTGCTAGAAAGAATATCAGTTTAATTAGTAAGTATATCAGTCTGATGCTCACCAATCAGTTTCACTCTTCCTGAAGACAGCAATGTGGGATCGTCTTTTTTGACATTATTTATTGAGTCATCTACTAGTTCTTTGATATGATCAATTCCTACAACTTGTCCTTTGGGACCAACCTGGAATAAAAATATACAGTTGAAGAATTTCTGCTAGTTTTATTTACAGAATGAGTATTTATACTTTCTGACCTCATTTCTCTAAAATAAAAACAAAAACTGGAAAGTGGAAGTATATTTTCCCAATGTTATTAGAACTACTGTTAGAAATGACAAATTTTGACTGCTAGAAGCACCTGATAATTAAAGTGTGTCTGCACAGTTTTATAAATACTTGTTAGTGCACTCTTTTTGAGATGCAATTCAGTTGTGTTAGCTTTGTACGTGGAGATTTCTTCTTGGAATTTCTAGAAGTTAAATTTGATCATGTTTGTTTTCATTATCTGCAATAAAAAGTAACAATGTCAAGAACAAAGGCTAGAACTAATCTCCTTTCACACTGAGTAAGACTTACTAAGGATTAAGGTTCTTTTAGAGAAGACCTTACTTCAAGGATTAAATAATGATTTTTATTCAAAATCATCTCAAGAGTCCTATTCTTTCAGAAGCAAATGCTGCTATTACTAGTCAGGGACAAACTACCTTCCACTCACCCTTGCATTCATGAATCTACTTTCAGATTTACAGCTCTCCTCCACAGGAAGAGTGGAACTTCTGAGAGCTCTTAACTCAAAAAAGGTCACAAAATCTCTGTATTCTGAGTGGGGAAAAGTCTACTAACAAAAACTTCTCCATTACTGGTATTTCTTCAATAATTTTGTCTTTAGTCCAGAAAAAAACATTCAAAACCAATCCAAATCTTAAAAAAACTGACCACTTTTAACAGAATTCAGCTCAAAGACCACACTAGCAGAGTACATCCTAGCAAGGCCCATGTTGCCTAACAACTTTCTATGGACACATCTACACGCATTGTTTATGCTTCTTTGTCTTACATTTTAATATTGTTTAGACATGGAAAATTAGTAACTGGTTATCCGGGAATTATTTTTGTTTTAATATGAACAAGTCCTATGTAAAAAAAACATTAAAAAAGCAGTGTTAGCTTTTCTTGTTTGAGTGGAAGACCATTCCAGCCTTTTAAACACAGCAAGACACAGAGCAAGTTTTCACTATGACAGTCATGGCTTGCTGTTCAGAGGAATGCCTGGCAGTCAGTTGTACAATAAACTGGCAAAAGATCCAGTATATTCCAAACAGTAACATCAAAGAAATGAAAATTTAACAAAATGGTCAGAGCACAAAATAGTCTGATAAGTAAGAGAACCTCCTGCTGCATGTGACAGACCATTATGCTATTTCTGAGTCCTCATCAATTGCCTCTGTTACCCTGAAACTGTGAAGCGCGTGCAATTGAGACAACACAAAGAGGCACAATTTTTGGATCTCTATGTTAAGAATAAAAATATGGACCACTTTTTTCATTAATCCAATACTGACAGGATGAAAACTGCAATTAATTTAATTAGCCAGCAACCTTCAAAAGTAAATAAACTTAAACTTATCTACATAGCTTGCAAAATTATCTTAGACATTTAACATGAAAATCTAAACAACAGTCTTCAAGATACTTTACTAGTCTAAGTAAACATAAAGCTTTCCCAGAGGTACCACAAATGAGATTATCATCATAAGAGTAAAATTGTCATCTATGAGCACTGAGGCACTTGTGCTACAAACGTGAGCTACTAATTCTAGATCTCAAGTAGACTGAGAAGCAACATCAGCATAGTCACAAAAAACACATCCCCAAGTGAATTTTGGTGGCAAAACACTCTACCATTAAGTCCCACAATAAACTGTGTCCCAGGGTAACTTTATGATGCTTGTATCCCCAACCATCTGTAACTTCTTTCAAGTTTTTGTTACAGTAAGCAGTGTTATCAAGCAGAATGAAAGCATTTACCCAATTTTTCATTACACACATCTGTAAGCCATTCCAACGCAAACAACCAAGGAGGATTCATAAGAGGCACATGACATTTATATGGCAATAAAGAGATAGAGGGATTAACTTCAGGAAATCTGGAAAGAGATTTCCTTTTTGTGCTGATTCTGACTTCTCCATAGCTTGTTTTAGTAGGAAAAAATGCACAACTACAGTTGTGCATGTCCTATTGAAAATGGCTATTCCTTTACGCATTCATAACTTTAGTGAGATATATATAGCCTGGACAAAAGTTTTAATGCTTGTAGGATTGGTGTTCCCATACTAGCATTTGAATACTGACTTCACAGACCAAAAATAATAGGCAGCAAGTTGAATTAAGTGCCATTTAAGATTTCCTCTAAACTGCAGTTTGGTTAACTTATTTCAACTACTTTTTTTTTTTTTTTCCAGATTTTGCAGCTAACACTTAGAAATCTAAATACTTTTGCAAGTTCATTGCCTCGTTCTAAACACTCTCAGCTAACTCTTAACACTGGGAAACAGAAGTGATTGCAGACTCAGATTGGTGCTTGAAAACAGAAAACCACGTAACAAATAAGCTTAGATGAGAAATTATCATATGTATCAACACATTTCAAATTAACTTTGCAGAAAGACAAAACAAAAAAATATAGCTGGCAGTTTAATAAAGGTCTCTACTAATCATAAAGCAATTATAAAGCCCTGGAAGAGAGAAAGTAGAACTGATTATATTCCTCTTCATTAATCAGTCTAAGAACACAATAGCTACAGCCACTAAAATCCAAATTTTAAAATATTTTTTATTTTTTCATCTTTTTTTTTCCCAATGTAAGATAGGGAAGAACAGAAAATTCCTTAGGTACCAAATTCCTAGGCTGAATAACACAACTGAGATTAAGTTACTTGGCAAAGACATAAAATTTAAATTAATATCTAACTTTATAAAGGTTAAATGGACACTTACAGTAATACTTGTGCAATATAACAAGAAAAGAAAGCAATTAAATTCAAAGACAATTTATTATATACGTAAGATGTTTTCCTGTGGAAATAAGATTCTTTTACGCTTCACTGAGCTTTCCTTGTAACAGGAATCCATGATGATTTATCACAATGAGAACATTCACAGCCACTCAAGATAACAAAATTTGAACTGTTCAAGACAAACGTCTTCATCCTTCAAGATAGAAAGTAACAACTAAAATTCAAACATTAAAAAAACCCAGAACAATCTAAAACCCCTAAACTTCCTCACTAGGGGGTTTCTTCATTACATCATTTATTGGGCTATTTAACTTGAACATCTATTATCAGCTACCATAAGAAATGGGCACCAATAACACCCAGGAGAGTAAATTATTTTCTGTACAATATACTTCAGTCCATTATGAAGAATGCTTTTCTTTGCCTTGTAATTCAGAGTTACACTTGAGTCCAAGCAGTTGTGATGATCAAGGGATTGAACTGAACAACTCACCATTCGCGAAAAGCACGCTGTAAGAATTCCACTCCCAGATCCTACATCGAGTGCTTTGGCTCCTTCATGTAGCTGATCAGATAGAAGTTCAAGTGCATATGCATGCTAAGAGAACACAGAGAGATAAAATTTCAAATTATTTCAAGTGTCTGTTTTACTCAATATATGTTAATTTGTTCAGAGATTTTGGGAAATGCCCTGAGCATTTGTGTAAGAAATTTCAGAATCATTTCTATTACAAAAAATGGGGGGAAAGGTGTTAACTACATGACATTGTTACTATCATTTTTATTTCATTAGCTTCAACAAATTTAATGAGATTTTTTTTTTTAATTCATATACAAAGCCTCATCTGACCATTCACACTTCTAGCACAGACTATTTATATATTAGGAAAGACACTATAAATCAGTTTATATTTCCTCAGGTCTGGTGACTCTAACTATTCTGGCAGTATATGGCCAATAGAGAATTTAATTTATTATTTTGCTATATGCACTGGAATAGCCTGATACAAAAGCTAGCTAGCAAGAAGGCAGCTCCAGAGCATCAAGGAAAATGGCTATTAAAACTACCTCCTGTATTACCTGCACACTTGCTGAATCAAAGAATAGGAAAATGAAGTTGTCTGTTACAAAAGCAAATAGCCAGGCTCACACATGAAATGCAGTAGTCTATAGACACACTTGATAACTTTTGTTTTGCTATGTGGTGGACCAGTACACAAACTAAGTGTAGGCTGCACACTAAAAACCCAATTTGTTCTTTCATGTTTCAGAGACAGCCATTACCACACTCTTTCAGCTTAATCCAGCCCAGCCAGAAAATATAAATAATTAGAATATTCTCTGTTAGAACATTCTTTGTTAATACTTGCTTAGAGGATATATTATCTTTTTGCTCTAACACTTCATATACTACTAGTGCTAAGCATTGGAAAAATGACGACTTAAGGGACTTAAAATTTTGAAGCATAATTAATACTTATTTTTTCCCTTAGCAACAGTACTTTTTTCAGTCTTTTCTTGAATAATATTGTTAACATCTCTATACAGAATTCCTGATCTTTTTATATTGATAAGTAGGTAAATTCTAAGCCAACTACACAGTTTTTAGTCAAGAGAAGCAGACTTTTACTAAGTTTTGACACCTTCCAAACATCGCAAAGACAAAATACTTGCTTCTATTCACCCTGTACCTCAAATAAAGAACACAGAAAAAAAAATATATCTGATATAGATGCATGCACTGAAATCCCAACTGGAACACTCACACTGGTCTCAAACCACTTGGCAAAAAAGCCATGCAACTCAGTACAATGTATCTTTTTTCCTGGCCAAGGATTTAAAGGCATTACCGTAGTACAATACTATAGGAATCACTGTCATTCACACCTGAATTCTTATGATTTTATATATTACAAAGTAATTTCAGATCTCCAGAAATCATCTGGTCCAGAAGATTTCAATACATGGGCATTTTCAATTAGGCTGCTTAGAACCCTCCTCTGTCAGTGTCCTTGTTTATCAAAGAACAGAATTTCCACAAGCTGCAAAGCCTGTTTCAGTGCTTAACTACCCTTACAGGCTTTTTTTAACTCTAGAAATTAATCTGGATTTCCTATGTTACATTTTTTTGCCCACTACCCCTCAGCCTATTTCTTGCAGATGTCATCCTATACATCTGCAAGAAAAATCTTGATCAATCTTTCCTACTTCCTCACAGTAAGCAGTTCACAAAAGTTTCATTGCAATCAACTGCTCATCATATTTACTAGGGCAAATATTTTATTTCAAAAGCACCTCGATTTTTATAAAATCACTACACTAATCACCTAGTTTAAAGCTTACCATGTGTGGAGCACTGATTGTTGCTTGGAAACCTGTAAAACAAGAGAATGAAAGATGTTCATTGTTGTTCAGACAGTAACCTTACAATCTTTATTACCCTGACTGTAAAGGGTGACACATTCACTGCCACCCTCATTCACAGTACAACATCCACACCCCAGCAATTACACAGGCACTCTACATTAGAACTGGGTTACAGTACCTCAGCTGAAAGCTATGCTGTGTCAACTTTGGACAGGAAAAAAAAAAAGGGTTTTATCCTTGATCTCAGTTACAATCCCCATTTTGTCACTATACATACTGAGCAAGTAGGTTTAATTCGGAAGAGTAGTGTCTGCCAAAACAATGTAATTCCATTTTAGTCAGCCCCTATGTAAAAATATGAATTTGTTAGTTTGAGTTTCATGTAGTGGAGAGCATTGAACATCTGGAGAACAACATTGTGTGTTCTGCAAACAGCAAATGAGAACAAACACCTATAAGAATGGGAGGAACACTCACCTATATTTGTTTTTGTAAAGATACATCAGCCTTTGCGTATGTATCTTAAAATATTTTTTAATTCTCCTATATAACTAACAAAATCCTAACAAAATTCACTTACCATGTACAATTAAAGGCAGGGAGAAGATCAAGAAAATGAAATTCGTGTACATATACATAGCTCATTCTCTTGTATGGAAAGATAAAACTGGGACCTGGATAGAAAATTACTGTCCTATCAATAGACCTGCCCATTCAAAGCCTATTTTTAAAGATTTCACATAATGCTTTAAGAAACTCTGCGTTGGTCCCGAGTAATTTCTGTAAAGACAGGGAATGTTTCTACCATAAACTGGATGCTAATTGTTTTTACATATTTACATCAGTGACACCATCATAAGTTGCTGTGGTTTGAAAAATAAACACATATTTACACATACAAATATTGGCTGAAAAACACCTCTCTACCTGATATATCCAAATATGCCAACTGCATTCCACAAGAAACTGAAGCTCAGTTAAAAGGTATGTAATAAATTAATGAAGAACTAAACAACCTTCCAAATTAAAAAAAATATCTTCACATTCTTAACACATAAATGACAAAAGCAGTCACAATTACATAAATGAAAACTATCTCAATCACTTTTGCAGGATGCTCTTACCTATAGACTGTGGAGAGTCCATGTAGGGGTTGTATTTTGCATAGTGGCAACGGTCTGTAGCCAGCATTACCTCAAATACCTTGTCCGTTTTGATTATTCCATTTTCTATAAACAAACAAATACATAAAAATGAAAGCATTGTTTCTCTTCTGCAACGCACGAGTCTGCGAAAAATGTTAACATATAAACAGCATTGTAAGAAATCATGTACCTTACACAGATCTTACACTCTTACCCTCATGATACTGCCCATGGCCGGGGTTGGACTACATCATCCTTAAAGGTCCTTTCCATCCCAAACCCTTCTGTGATACTAACATTAAATCTGGAGTCCAGATATCAAATGATGCTTAAGCCAGTGATTGTTGAACAAGACTTTCCCAGCAGTTACAAATGCTTTCCTGAAACCACTTGCGAAGATCTATCCCCTAGGAAAACTCAACTTCATACATACCTTTGATAAATCCTGAAAATATAGTCACTAAGAAATTAGTATTACTACACGCACCAAACAAGATATACTTCATATTTCTAAGAAGCTATACAAGTAGTTATTGAAAAATATACAAAAGCAAGTTAGAAATGTTAAGTTGAAGCATCATTGCTCAGAACATTAATTTCCAGATCTGTTTGTCTTATGTTAGCAAAGAAAAAAAATCCATCTGTAAAGAAACTCCCACTGAATCTGCATTCTTATGCTGGGGCAGACTGAGACCAAAAAATTTTATAACAAAACACTCTGGCTTTTTTCACTTTTCAAAATAAAATATAAATGCACATGCATGTAAAATGTCAGAAGCGGACATTTTTCCTTGCTGTTTTATTTAAGTTTTTTTAACATTGTTAATTCTATTTTTTTGAAGTTCCCAAGAGTCCATTATGAATAACAGAAAACTTTGGAAAACAAATGGAAGAAATTAACTAATTATTTGCATTAAAATATTATATAAACTACAAATAACTGACATTTCAGTGATGGATTCCTTCATTAACTACTTTCTTTAAATAAGGATTTATTTGCAAAATTATACTTTAGAAGGAAAAAAAAAATTAAAATATCCTTTAAGCACCATTAATATCTAACCCAAAACATTAACATCAGATTAGGGAACTTGTGTAAGATTGTCCTGAAGTTGCACCAGTGGGTTTTTTTTTTAAAAAAACACACCTGTGCCCAAGAATGGGCTAACTTCTGCTGAGACTTTACTGTTTACTACATGCTCCCAACTACACCTATTAATCATGGGATTTTCCTGTCTTTTTTTCTTATCTACCATCTGTGTCCAGAAATAATTATCCTATATAACATAGACTTGAATTCAGAAAGGAAAATAACTCCTCAGATCATATTCCTTTTTGGTCTGAAGACAAAGTATCACATAGAACTGCAAAAGAAATATACTATTACTATGGACAATTTTAAGGAAAACAATTCCTTTTTAAAATATATTATTTTTTATAAATATTTCTGTATCTGGTAACTCCCAGAAAAAGTATACACTTCACTCACAGTCCCCTCATATTAGATATATCCTGTTCTTTGACTTCATTTTGAACTGACTACTACAGCAGTTCCAGTTAGAGGAAACTCATTTCAATGCAAGACTTTATATCTGAGCCAGCAGGCATTTGCAGCCATTCGTAAGTTTACTTACTGAACAAAATTGTACCCAAAAGAAAACAAACAAATCAACACACTAACACATTATCAATAACAACAGAGGATAGCAATGAAAAAAAGTTTTCCTGACCACTAGAAATTAGTTGGATTAGTTGTACAGCAGTTCTGTGAACAAAGCATAGAAACCAAAAAGTCAAACTTTTACTCTTAGAGTCTCATTAGGAATCACCAAGAAGTCAGTATATCCAAACCAAATATATTTTAAAAAGGAGAATAAGCAAGTCTAATTGTAACAGAAGTGAGGAGATAAAGGCTCTAGGGGGTTGAAGGGATGTCAAAAAGCAGTAGCCAAGAAGCACTCACAAAAGGTCTAAAATAGTAATTTATTTCTTTACATGCAGATATGTGTATATATTCTAGAACTACAGCTAGCCACCTGCTCTTTCCTTTTGTGCCTTGTGGAATAAAATGCAGAGAACAAAAAGAACAAGCTTCCAGCTTGGAAGTGCAACTGCAAGGCCCTATGATAAAGCCAAGAACCTTCTCTAATTTCACAAAACAGATCCAGACAAAGTACATACAACTATCAAACAAGATGCTTACACTGACAGGCAAATTACAAAAAATTAAAAAAAAAAAACTAACTGAAAACAGAAACTACTAATATTCTAAAGATTTTGAGCATTCAGGATGCTCTCATTCAGCAAACAATCATGAGATTTGCTGACTGTTGTACTGTCTTTGATTATTGTACGAATTGAAGAAAGTTACCCATAGTCAGAACCTGTGGGAGAAGCTGAATCTGCTGTCAGCCATTTATTTCAATTATTGAATAACACTCCATCCTCATGAAAAAAAAACAACACCCTCTCAGCCACCCCCCACAGATTAAATCTGCTTTTCAAATTTGCTGATTATACAATGGAAACATTATCAAATTTAAGGTGGAAATAAGATAAACAATCAAGCCCTAAACAGTAAGGTCAATATTGACTTAGTTGTCATTTTTGTTGTGTTGATAACAATAAGATTTTTTTTTCTTAGTCTCACAGAAGACTATAGAGAAACATAGCACCTCAAGTACTGAACTCCAGAAAAGTCCTTTCTTTCCTGCAACAGTCAGTCCCAAGATGACCAGGATCTTAATTCTGTCTGAAATATGTCTCTATCAAATTTTCAATTAAGTCAAGAAAACAAGTATATCCCCCAAAGACGCCAATAATAGAAGCTTATATTGCAAAGAAGACATTCTAATTTAATGCACTCTCTACCAAAAAGCCAAAACAGTAAAAAAAATCAACTATAAATAAATTGCTAACTAAAACCATTTTCTAAATCTTAAAATGAAGCTGCATATTGCAAGAAAATAATTCACAATTAAATGCATAGTAGAATATCCTTTCCAATTATAATGTGCACAGAAATCTCTCCTTGAGGAGACTGCTGGGTTTCAAGAATGATAATCAGTTTGTTCTGTAAACAAATCAGATACTAAAGTGTTTACAAGCAAAGGATAATACACAAACATACTGACGGCTTGAAATAAAAAGTAAACTCAAATCAGAGTTATATCAGTACAACTTCCAAGCTTCAAAGGGTTGAAGCTGAAAAGTAAGTACTTAACAGTGGAGCACTGCCTGCCAAGTTCAAGAGTTACTCTGCGCAGAGGCTGTGGCAATGACAACTTGACATAATTGGAGCATGTTTTGAAAACTCTCTCTGCTCTGCCTCTTTTCCACAAATAACACCATGAAAACAGGAAAAGAGCTCAGAGCAGTTCTTGGGCTTGAAGGTGGGAATATACCACTGTTGAATGTAACCTGGGAAACTTGGCAGTTGGCTGTCAGAGAGCAAGGCAAGAAGAGTCTGAAAAGGCACCATGGACTTGCAACAAGTAAACAACCTATATTTTTGTCTTTTATTTAGCAATAAATGCACTACTGAAGTGCTTATGTTTCAAAGAATTGCCTACCTCACTGATGGTATCCTGACTGTTGACCAAACATGTTTTCTAATCAAACCATAAAATACTAGCAGTCAACACTTACACCAACACGGGCTTCCAGATCAGAAAAGAGGATGTGTCACTGCCACATGATTCAGCACACAAGCTTACTATACAAACCATAACACCTACTCAAACTCCTCCCGTGGCTGACTTTATGTATTTTAAAAATCCTCTTGCAGATCCCAAAACCATTTACTACTTCAACATCCACAAATAGCACAACTACTTCAGCATTCACATAGTTCAGCTTCTTAGATTACCTTCTCCATAACCACTGCAGAATACTTCATTTAGGAAGACAAATTTTCAGCAAAACAGTGATATTTTGAAATCATACAGAGATCTTAAGGTATGATGCAAAGCACATACAGCTTTATGTAACAAAAGAATCATTCATGTAGATGGAAATTACTGATGTGACTAATCATAGAATGGTTTGGGTTAGAAGAATCCTTCAAGGTCAACTATTTCCCTCTTATGCTTGGGGCCCCAGAGCTAGATGTAGCCCCAGAGCTAGGTGCAGCCAGATGCAGGGTCTCACCAGTGCAGAGCAGAGGAGTAGAATTGCCTCCCTTGCCCTGCTGGCCACAACACTTTCGATGCAGGACAGTTTGCTTTCCACAAACTTGCAGAGAGCACACTTGATCCCACTGTCAATGTCAATGACAAAGATGTTAAACAACACCAGTCCAAGTACCAACCCCTGAGGAACACCACTTGTCTACAACTGAATATAGAGCTTTTGACCACAACTCTTCTGAGTCCTACCACCCAGCCTTATTTATCAACTGGTCCATCTATCTAATCCATGCCTCTCACTTTTAAAGAGATGGATATAGTGCAGACAGTGTCAAATGACAGTCTCCACCTGACCCATGAAAACCAGCTAGCAGCTTTCCAGAGGAGAATGGGCTGGAACAGAACCACATCCTGATTTGCAAGCAATGTGAAGATTGCTTGTTTTAAGCAACTGATCACCTGACATTTTTAAAGTCAGGGTCCTTTTCTTGAGCAGAGGAAGAAAAAAAATAGGAAAGAATGTGGTCCAATTAATAGAATTTTATTTAGTAATGAGCATAGGAGATTTCACTGTAAAGCATGAACACAAAGAAAACACTTAGAACAAGAAGTGATGCATCAGCACCCTAAAATCCAGTAACGGACACTGACCCAAACTATACAAAGCTCTTTGTGCTAAATAAATTAAAAGTAGGTGTTTGCATACAAGTGTTTATTGTACCACTCATACATGCAAATTTCTTATGCTTTGCTGATAATTTAAGAGCGATCTGCCTCAAAGGTTCAGATGTCCATCTATTTTCACTGTGATTTGGGTTCACAATATCCAAACATTATCCAAAGGAGGTTGCATACAGCTCACTGGAAGGAATCCCTTGAGTGTCTATTGTTCAGAGACACGACAGAAAGACTGGGGAAAACAAAAGTCCATCAGAGTTAATCTTATAGCCCAGCAATGAAACACAACTATCAAGTCCCATGAAAATTCTAAAGTGACAGAAATTTTTTAAAAACAGGAGTAAGAATAGTAGTAGTAATAATAATAAATATTCAATTACCATTTAAATTCTACTCAAAACCTGCAGAGGTAAAACATGGTAATCATAAGCTAGGCTCAAGACAAACTAGCAGTATACAGCCTCAAGCTTCAATTAAATACAAAGTTACCTGTCAACATTTCACTTTTATTTTAAGGTAGTATTCCCTCCCTATTTAATAAGGATCACCTTAAAAACCAACCCATCCACTTTGGTGTAACAGGTAAGAGTTTTCTATTCATTTTCATGGATCTGAAAGTTTCAGCATCATTTCATGGATGCTGAAATTATCAGCAGCTGAATGAAGAAACTTTGAGGAGTACATTAAAGGAAAAAGTAACTTCAGGGTTGGTTTCAGCATGCAAAAACATAGAACCTCATTTTCCAATTAACTTTTAACACCCATGTGCAGATGAGGGAGACTTTTAACATCTGAGCAGTCCTCAATCCCTCAACATTTGAGAAGGTTGAACTTGACTTACACATCACAAGGAAAGTCAAAACTAAAGAGCTCAATAAAACTGATAGCAACCATCAGTAATAATGAAAAAATGTTGCAAAGGTTAAGATAAAGTTAGCTGGATCAGACAGATAGAAGGCGAACTCTCTTCACAGGCTTCTGGCAAACCTGCTTACAGTAAAGAAGGCAGATGGTGTACCTCTCACACCGTACTGAGCAGATTCCATGCAACTACTCTGCAGTCTTCAGAAAAGCCAATGCTGTTAAGACCAGCAGCTAGACCACATGAAGAGCTTGTCATTATGAAGATGGTTTCATTAAGGTACTAGTACTACACAAAAGTGGAGAAAGAATCAGAAGATCAGCAAAATATAACTCTGACAAAATATAACTCTTGGGACAAAATGACAAAGAAATGCCCTATTAGCAGAAATTAGGAAGAATTTCTGAAGCTGTATTTCAACAGTGCAAGCATTTAAAACTATTTTGTCCTCAAGTCCACTATTGAATGATTCAGGTTCTGAAGTATTAAATGTAACTCACAAGTCAGCCAGTCCAAAAGTCCACAGTTTACTGATCTCAAGCTTTAAAAGAATTCACTCAGTTTTTGCCAAATGTTGGTAATTTAAATTAAAAATTAGAACATTAATAAAATTAACCTAATAAAAAATTAATACAATTATTTACTTAAAGTGTTATGTAGCACTAAAGAACATGACTTTGAGGCGTTAAGGGACAACATTCACATAAAGAATCACTCAAAAGAACATGAACATTATACATTTCTTTCTAGGCTTTCCAGTAGCACTTAGTGATCTCCTGATACTACATCAGGATGATAGAAACATTAGCACTAAATGAAAAGCTTAGAGTTGTACTGAAGCTAAACCATAGAGGATTCCCTCTTTTTAAAATGCCTACATTAGCAGTAATGACTTGTTTTAGACACATTTGCATTATCATTTCCATTTTGTTATGGATTACTAGGCAGCTTCAGACCACCAGAAAAAAAAAAATCATGGCATTATATTCACATACAAAAATAAAAATATATCTTCAATCAAGCAAAATAACTAAATACTTTAAATTAAAATTATTTATTAGGAGTTATAAAATTTGCTATGTAAATAAGCAGCAAAAAATGCCTTCTTTTCTTACTGAATGATCAAAGACTTGGATTTTGATGCACTGAATTTTGGGAGTTTCTGGGAAAGTATGGATATGTTTTTAACATTACATTGACACCCTGTCTAACATTAAAGGTAGAAAGCATAGCAACAACAAAGAACCAGTTAAGAACACAATCTTAATTTACACACCAATAAAACATGATAAATGTTATTAAATTCAGGTTGGGTTTTTTCTTTCTGTTATCATTTCCTATTATTTGGGATATCTAGTTACCTTGATTTACTTGAAGGCCTGCCTCTTAAAAGATCAAGGATATAGAAAATCTTCAAAACATTTCACTGATATGGGCAAACCATTAGCAAATACTTAAATCTTACTTAAAAATAAAAAAGTTTCACAGAAACTCCTTTAGGCGATTATTCAAATTACTTGCAATAAATTTTTTTATTTAAATCTCAGTGCTCCAAAATCAAACATCACAGATTTCAAGGCTGCCACCTGAGACATGAACTAAATTTAAGAAATTTTAGATATTCTTAAATTAACTTGTCAGTGGATGTGTTAATTTTAATTTTTAATTGAAAAAAAAAAAATTGCTCACTTTCTAGCCCTTTCACTGCCTGGTCCTAAGTTACAATGCTTAGTCACTGAAGCCTCAATACAATCATGATGAAGGAAAAGGTGGTCACTGAATGCACACAACAGGCAGCATAAGTGCTTGTACAGGGGAGTCATTAAATTTGGTCTAATTTTCCATTATTATTTCCCTTCTTCATGTTCATCCAAGTGACATTACTCTTCCTTAAGCAAAATTAGACAGATGTAGAAGAGATTTGGATAAACCAAGGGAAAAGATGTGACAGAGGAAAATAAACAAAACAAAACCAATGTTTATTACTTGCTGAACCTAGCTTAGGCTTACTATATGCAATGCCTTCCCATTCGTGGCAGTTCCCAAAGAGTTTTGTCCTCAGCAACCAGAAACTTGCACCAAAAGTGAAGATTCATTGCAGATAAGCCTTCATCGTGACGAAGCATGCTAAGATGCCATTTTTAATTATTTAACATTTAAATAATTAAAATATTTGGAGAAATACCTTTAGCATATTTAAAAATAGAATTCTCGGACCATGATACTATTTGAATATAGTGATTTCAAGCATCATTCACATTGAAAAACTAAGACTCTGATCTTATGTAAGGTGCAAAATTCTGTGGAATCTTATAAATTACAGTTGCTAACTTTCCCAACACACGTTTATCAGGAAAGGAAGGTAAAATAATGTAGCAAGAAACAAATCCACAGTTGGTTAACAACTTCTGCCACAGCTGAGTTAACTCACCTTCACTTTCACTGGAAAATGTGGATTTAAGAGCAGGTGTATGTGATGAAAACACCACTGACATAACATGATCAGAGAAGTAAGCAAAGCAAGTTTGTCCTACAGCAGCATGACACTGACTGGAGGAAAAAGGCACAATAAGGAAACAATGAACTTTGCTTGCGAATTGGACAGGGAACCAATTTTTCTGTCTTTCAGGTGGGAAAAAAGCTGATTTCTAAGATGTTGGCATGTAAAGTAGTAGGACTTGGCAAAAGTATGAAAGTATGAAAGAAGACGAAATGATCTTATAGTAACCTATCAGCAGATAGCTGAAGATACAGAGAGGGGGAAAGAAGTTACAGATTTAGAATCAAAAGACTTTCAACCAAGCAAGACAACAGTAAATAACTCACCAATTCTTTTCCTCCTTCCTTAGCACCTCTACATGACAGATTCATAATTTTAAAAATTCTCCTGTCAGAGTTATTTATTTAAACACAGGTAATTATTTCCTGTATTTAGCATGATTTCTAACTGTACTGTAACCTGCATTTAGAGAGCTCCCTAGAAATGTTGTCTGCTAAAAGATCTTACTTTAAGTATACTTTTGAGAGATGTTTACTCAAGTTTGAAGGCACATGTTCAACTATATCCAATTAGGAAGAAGCAAAGATTTAAATAATTATTCCATGAAAGTGAAAAATGTTTGTTTTAAGGCTTTAATGAACAAAGAAACATTCAGATTAAAAAAAGGCATTTTTAAAAAATGAGAAGTACTTTCAAGAATCACTGAAACAAAGCAGCTGAACACCTCATAGCAACAGTACATTCAAGGACAGCATTTTTGTTGTGAAGAGCATGTTTTAAAGAAGTTTATTTTGCATATGTCAAATTGTGCATCTATGATGCCTCAAATTAACAGCACAAAAAGATGTTTACAATGGAACAAGAAGTTAAAAATCAAAACAATGTACTTCAACATTCTTCAGTCACTTGTCCCTAAACATGTGCTGAAAAACACGCAAAGTTCCAGGGCCCTCCTTATTAGTTTGTCCCTTTTAAGACAGGACAGCAAAGATAAAGCCTATAAAGAATAACTGCCTAAATCTGCATTGTACATACGCAGAATCATTTGTCACTACCCTATCACAATGACTGTTACATTACAGAAAAGTTAATTCTACAGTTAAGGCAACAGTGAAATAAGCAGTAAAGCAAATGTCACAAAATGGAGAATTTTATTGCCACATAACAGAAGCACTAGTAACTGTCAATAACAGCTTATAATTAAGAATAATCTTTATAGTTTTTTTAAAGGAAAAGAACATGTAGCATACAGGAATATTCTAATGATGGTTTTATTTGAAAGCAAAACCACTTTAATAGGTTCCCATTCTCCTCAGCCCTCATTTATCCACAACCAAGTTTACTGCTTCTCTAACCATAATAGTACAACAGCTTATAGACATTTAGGAGTTTAAATTGTGATTTTTCACAAGTCATGAGAAAGTGACCCAGTCTTACAGCACTGCCTCCCTCACAGGCAATTCTACAAGAACAGTCAAGAGAAGAATTGTGGCATAAGGGCAAGGGCAAGAACCTCTCCACCAAGATCCGCTGCAGAAGAAAACATACTGTATCACTACAACCTGCCTTGTTTTTTTTTAAGTTATGCAAAATATACACTATATTACACACATATTTAATAAGTTACACACAAGACAAACACCAGACAACATCAAATTAACCTCATCCAATCTGCATTCTCACTTTTAGCATAAAATGCTGTAAATGCTATGTAGCTGTTTTTAGAGAGGAGAAAATACATTGATGGACCTACTACTCCAAAAGAATTCTCTGGAACATCTTAAGTCTTTCTTTAACCAATAATGTTTAAGTTTGTTAAAAAATATCTGGAAGAATTGTATAACATTAAACAGTACTTTCTTCTAAATCTGTTCCCAACTTTAGCAACAAGGTACCGTCCTACCTGAGGAACTCTTATTTGAAAGTTATGGTCTTAATTCAGCAGCTGCTCTGCACTGATAAAGCCCTACACCATGAACAGAGTCCCACTGAAGTTGACAACGCAATCTTCCTGCAAGATCAAAGGCCTCTTTGCTGCCACAATATTTTACTGCCAATCCACTATTTCCCTGTTTTACACCCCTCAAAACATTTTGGCATGCATATGCAAAACAGAGAGGGGGAAATTAGCATCAATGCATGCTTTGAGATTACAATATTGAGCACTTCTGTTTTACTTTCCTCTTCCGATACAACTATCGCTGGATACTAACTACAACGGTTTTTAGCTTTGTCATCATTATTTGCAACGCCCTAAACAGTTTCCATGTGTTGAAAAACTGTCATTGTCTTCTGCAACAAAGAAACTGGTTTTGCCTTCAGGTTCTGAGCGTCCTAGACTATTCTGGTAATAATTGCTTTTTGGATGTATTTTGGAGTTTAACATTGGTTTTTACATCAGAAAGTTTTTCCCTGCTGTGTAAGAGAACAGTATTTCAGTAAAACAGTATTTCTAGCCCTTTCAGTTGCAAAATAAAACAAAACAAATGTATTGCAACACTTGTAACTAGAGAAGTTATTATCAATTTATTAAACAGAATTTTTACAACGAAACTACAATAATCAGTAGTTTTTACAGGGAAGCTGAAAGTCACTTCAGCATGTATTATTCTGCTGGATGCGATAGTTTTCAAAAGAAAATACTGAGAAAGACCACATGATCAGATGATCTAACATAAGCAGAGAAAAGGAGAAAACAACAAGAGTGATTCTCCTATGACACCAGAATAATGAGGAGGCCACACAGATGAACTTATCTGTGGTGTTGTAGTATCACTAAAGTAGGAGCCAACTGTCATAGTACGGGCTCCAGATCTACATCCGATTACGTCTAGGACACAGACTTGAGAAGAGGAAGGGAAAAGGCCAGAAGCATAGACGAGAGACACTAAGTATACTTAAGAGAGGTTAATTCAATTCTAATATGAAAAGTGGAAGCTCCGAATGCACAAGGTGTTGTCTCTCCGTCCTCTCAG